TTTTAGACGGTATTGTAAATTTTTCATTCTCTCCAAGTTGCTATGGATGATCGTATTTGCACTTTTTATGACAACAGGATGGTTATTTCGATACGGGGCCAGCAATATGAAATATCAGAAACAGTCATTTAATACCATGAATCTTCAAAGGGTGCGAGTAAAATCTCTTACCGAGCGGATTAAAATTTTGGGCGCTAATAACCAATCGCTTATATTTATAGATGAAATAAATCATAATAATTACATGGATTACAATTTCAACATTAAAGACATTTTGGAGGACTCAGAGGTAGGCTCAACTAGTCCCCCAAATTTGGGCATTATTAATAATGTTGACGAATATTCGAAGATTTTGCGAAGTTTGAGCCAAGAGGGCGGTCCTCAAAAATATTACGGCAATCATCATAAAGATTCGTACGATAATTACGTAACCCTGGATGAAAATTATTTATATGAAGTTAAAGGTAAATAATAAGATTGTCTTTGGAAATAATTAATATCCTTTTTTAATTTATCTTTATGAACTTTGATTTTTTTTTCTGCCTTAAATTATTTTCTTACACGAATCATTTATTTACAGAGTCACACTTTACATATTTCTTTATTTTACCCTAAATTATAAGGTAGTCAGTCTTTGAAAATACCCTTAACACTTTCACAAAAATATGTGATTACATCTGCCATCAACGAATCCCTTTTCCATTTGATCAAGAAATACCCCCACATGATCGATTATCAAGTATTGGATATTTATTGGCTCCATGTATCTAGATGGGGTTTTCAGTATATCTTGGATTTTAACATACAAATCTCTAGTGAAAGTTCTGCCATCACTGAACAAGCAAAACCCAAGAGCATTTCAAATAAAACCGTAAATCGTGTAGTGAAACGTATAGTTTACGCTAAACTTTTTAACCCTTTTTCGGATATTCTTTCCGTATACGATCTAAAACAGAGGGAGGACTCCTTGACTATTATAATACCGGTGTCGGAGAGCGACATTTTAATACAATGGTTGCACGATTTTAAAAATCAAGGGTTAGATATAACCGACGAAAGATACTTAGTTTGGAAAGTAGAACGCCTGGTGCATAAAATCGCGGGTATTTGTGACTCTAAGGTCAATCTCTTGTTTTCTTTAAAAAGCTCCAAGATAAGTAACGGCCCTTTCAAAAATTCTCAAAAACCGGTGAAAAAGTCTAAATCTTTTTCACCTTTAGGCTCTTCCCCCTCATCGGAAAATGATATTTTGTCCAAAGCTGTAGGCAAATTGCTCAATAAATTTACCCATTTGTGTGAAGAAATAGAAATTCAAATTGTCTCATTGGCCGATCCAATTATGGCCAATAGAGCCAGGGCAGTTAACGCTGCAATATCGGCTTTAAATGATGATTCTCTAATGATGTTGGGAGATTTGGATATAGATTTTAGTTTAGATTTTTTGGCGCGCTGTCGGCACAATACTATATATAGCAAAATGGTGTTTTTTCCTATACCTCTTCAAGACTCTAATTTAATTCTGCATTCAGAAGAAGGGCATCCTGATTTGTTACTTAAGCCTTCGAGTAAGTCATTGTTTCATGCTTTAATATTTAATATCTATTTTTTTAATGTATAGTTGGGGGGGGGGGAATGTTTAATTCAGATGCATCCAAATATAACTGCCCTCCCCTCTCCTGCGGAATTTAAAAAATTGTTAGGAAAGATAATATAGAAATATAAGAAATCTCCATTTTTAACGGTTTTTTTTTAAATTGAAATATAAGTATTACCATTACCAACAATTTCTCAATATTATTTTCGAGGTTTCTAGAAAATATAAGGAATATTTTCAATTATTCACTTTCCGCTTTGTTCCGAAACCTAATTTACATAGATTTATTATTAGGAATATAAAATTCTCCTTCATTCATATTTTAAATTAATATTATATTGTATTTATAGCCAGGGCACAGTGGATCGTATTTCATATTAACCCATATAAATTCTGTAAATCTTAAAAATAGATGTCAGCTACCTCAAATAGTATAACTTACTAAATGATGTATTTAAAATTTAATTTACTAAAAAAACTTAAATATATATTAGATTTATTTTGAATTTCCAAGTTTAAAAGAAAATTAGGGCACATTAAACCAATTAACTGAGCAGGTAGGACCATAAAAAAAATATTCTAATGATAAAATATTAATAAGAAGTCAGAGAAACACGAAAAATATAAAATTTTATGATCTAATTTAAGAAATTTATAATAAAATATTGTACAAGTTATATTTTATTTTTTTTACATAAATGATCTTAAATAGTCAAGTCCAGTTGTATGCCATAGTTCCCAGTTGTGATAACAGTTTATATTTAAAAAAATATTAAGAGATAATCTTAGGTTATACACTGATAGATAATAGAGGATGGTTTAAGTTTTTATTTGATATATTATATATGGTTCTTAATATAGTTGGTTAAACTCCAGATTAAATTAATTGATAAATTTTTTTTACATGCTTTAAAATCCTACTTTAGGGTATAAAATTTTGAATAAGTTGAGGTAAACAATTTTTTTTATCGAGAAGTGTATATCATAAATTCATTATATGATTAACTTCAAACCTTAGATTTAATTAGTTTCAAAATAAATAGGATTGGACTCTGGTGCCCCTTGGTTTGTTATGCCCCTGTCTCCGCTGCAGGAGAAATATACAAATTTTTACAGAATTACCCCTAATATGCTTGCTGTTAGCCTATAGGACACAATTAAATTACTTCTAAACAAATCTTAAAACTAATTGATTGCATACAAATATTTCATAAAAACTGTATAATTTTCTAAAAAATATTTGGGAGGAGAATGGGGAGCTGGTGCATATTTTTGTTATCGATAAAATCTCTATAAAATTATTAGTTATAAATAACACAATATAAACTTATAGTTATTTTAATAAGGTCAATACGATATAGTGTGCCTATACAAAGATGATTATACTTATGTCAAAGGTTATAACCTAACCAACAAAATGGCGGGCAAAGAAGAAAGTGACTTGTACCAAAAATATCTGGAAAGCGATTTAAAGGTTTAACATATTTTTTCTTATATCTAATAAATTACGGAAAGATCTTTTATGGATTTGGCTATAACTAAGGTGGCACAGCAATCTTTTTATCAATCAAAAGCTGATTTCTAAATTATTTATGAGGAAGAAAATAAAGAACGATCAAAAATTTTTTGTATCATTTGACCATTTTCTCTAAATTTTAATCATTTTCACTTCTAACGATACTCATTAAGCAGATTAATAATGTTTAACTTAATTGATTTTATTTGTAAAAATAATATTTTGAGCTATAATATAAGCGGTGATGATTTCTCACAATATTTCATAATTTTATCAAAATATTTATTTGGGATTAAAACTATTCTTAAATTACCTTTTTACACCAAATTAATAGAGCAGCTAGTTCATAGAATTTTTAATTTTTATTAAATTATTACTTTTTTAATAGATATTTAGAGCACCGGATATTGGCCTATTTCACACATCCGATTCGTTGGAATGCTTGCAAAATGATAGAATACTCAAGAGTTCAAGAAGTTTTGCCAAATGCGTGGATAAATATTTTAGGATCAAAGGGAAGAATAGAACTTTAGCAATAGATATGATAAAAGAATTATATATTTTGAATAAAGGTGCTATCAAATGAAAGTTAATCGCAGATAATTCTCCTCATTGTTTATGTTTATTTTTAAATTGTCTGCCTTAGCAATTGCATTGTGAATATTTAAAAGTGGTATAAATTTATGTGTCATAACTATTTAAAAATGACTCATAAAATGGTTTACTTTTTATATTATTCAATTTACGCTGGAATCTGATAAGTATATATTATATTTATCAGCCATTCCGTTAAGTAGCGCCGCTAATTTAAAGTAGTCAGGCCAAAAATCCCTGCTAAAACCAAAAATATTGGTAGCGTTTAGTAAAGTAGGGGTGGAATCCCGTAGGATTCGTATACCATAATGTATTATAACTTATGTAAATTTAAGCAAATAAGAAGTTACCATCATCCAGGCACACCAAAGAGGGGGGTAGGAGATATAAAGAAGATAACAATTTAAATTGAAAGTGGGAATTTAAAAACCCCGCTCAAAAAAGGATATATAGTTTTCAAAAAAATAACACAATATTTAGTTTCCGGATAAGCTTATACGGTTATACTAGTGTTGTTAAAAGTTATCTTTTGAAAGAATAATTTCAAAAGTAACTGTTACTAGTTACAATTAAATTTCAAAATTAACTAGTCATTGATAGCTACTTTGTAATTGATTTATACATAACCCATCATTTTTAATATATTTTTTTTATTATTCAAAATTTTTACACATTTTGATCAAGGAATTTAAATGAATATATGATTTAATTATATATAATATCTGCACTGAAAAACCATACCGCATAATTATTTGTATAGAAACAAATATCATATTTTAATATACATATTTATTTACATCGAAAAAAATATATAAATAATACAATATAATATTTATTTTCTTAAAAATTTGAGAACAATTACTTTAACATGAAGCTATTTCCAATTGTGTCTAATTTATCTTTAAATCAGGTCCATTTAAAATAAATAAGAAAAAAAAGTAATTGAAAACTAGTTCGTTATTTTTGCAGTTACATTTCAACAAATATAACTAGTTACAGTTACTTCTCAAAAATGCAACTAGTTATTTTAACCGCACTGACTACATAATTACTCGAAGGTATAATTTTTATTACCGACTAGGATGACAAATTAATTTATTCATTCAAACTAACATTTTATTTTTTTAAATCACAAAATTCTTGAATCATATTTGTAAAATAACGAATGCATATAATCTTTAATTAAATGCTCGGCTTCAAGAAGAATCGCAAGAATTAAATTCTTTTTTTTTTTTAAATTTTAATTATGCCTATCAAAAATCCTGTCTGAGTACACCCTAGAAACATTGTTTTACTCTAAAAGTCTGTAAATAATTCTGAAAACTCTTCAGCTGTGGTCACATGGGGAACTAAATCTTTAATACTTTGCTTCTTGGACTCGATGGTTGCATGGCTAGGGCATTCTGGTATAAAATCGGATATACTTTTTTGAGTGTAAATGGATTCCCAGTTGAGCTTGATGAACCAAGGGTGCCTACTTATTTCGCTGATTTTATCGTGAGTCATACCTAGTCTAGTAGAGGAGTTGGCTAACAAGAACTTCCCTATTATGTCTTCTGCGTAGGTGCTGAAGTGATAGGGTATGGAATACATTCCATTAACGATATTCGTATAGACCTTGGACTCTCCTTCTGTGGTAAAAGGGGCAAAGCCTGCACACATTTCAAATATCAGTATACCCACACCCCACCAATCTACCCCTTGGTCTACGCCCTGGTTCAATATAACTTCAGGGGCCATATAATCTGGCGTGCCGCAGAAAGTCCAAGTTTTGCCTTTAACCTTTTTGGCGAAACCGAAATCGGCTATCCTAACGTAGCCCTTAGTGTCTATAAGCAAATTTTCTGGTTTCATGTCCCTGTATACTAAATCCATACTGTGCAAGTAAATTATCCCCATTATGACTTGTGCTGCATAAAATTGGGCTAAAGTTTCGGTGAACCGCTTCATGCGTTTAAGATGTGCGAACATTTCCCCGCCTTCCATAAACTCCATCACTAAGTACACGCAGGAATTATCCTTGTAATAATAGCACAGATACATGAGAAATTTTAAATCGTTACAAAACAGAATCTTTTTTTCGTTGTAGGCTTGTTTAACCTGTTTTTTAGCCACCAAATCGGCCTTGCGCATCATCTTAATAGCGAAAAATTTTTTAGATTTCTTGTCTTTACCCAATACCACCCGACCAAAAGCTCCTTCCCCCAATTTTTTTATGTAGGTATAATCTTCTGACTTAGTTAGAAGGCCTTTTTCATTGGCTTCCCATTTTTTGTCGAAAGCTAGTTTGCTTTTCTTCATTTGTTCGATAAATCTTTCTTCGTATGTGCTGTTCTTAAATTGTAATAAATGGTTCGATTATATAACATTACTAAAAGACACATAATTTAGAAATAATATTTTTTATAAATCGTGATAGAAAAACTTTTGTATTAAAAAGAAAATAAAGTTACCTGAGGTAGGGTATTACCCATCAAAGAGAAAGGTAGACGATGACATCAAATCCAATAGCATTTTGTCGATATTCGAAATGGGCGTCAATTCATTTTAGTAGTTTGTTTTGAAAAAACTTCTTATCAACATAGAACACTTTTATAAGAAATGCGGGTATATTTTTGATATTTGAACGATTAAAACATAATTAACTTTAAAACTTTATCATATAAAAGGATGCATTTAGTTTTGATATTGATATTATAATAATTTATATTTACAACAATCAACTTATCGTACAAGAATTTTATATACATATTTTATTTTTAATCGCTTTTTTGCTTGAATTTAAATCCAAAGTTATTATTTGCTACCTTACTCCTTTTTCTATGTCCAATAATTTACCAGTATACCAAAAATTAAAATATATATTTGGGTATGTGTCATTATTGAGCCATCTTTTAAAAGCATTTTTTCGATGCCAACGTTATCATATATCCTATTTATTTTTTTTCAAAGGGATCTGCGATCGTTTAATTAAATCCTTCTTTATTCTAAGTCAACAAACACTAGGGGTGATAATTAGAATTTAGTGAATTTAAAAACCATTATAAATTTTTTAAAGAAAAAAAATAACTTAATTTTCTTTTTTCAATTTCTTTCTTCAAATATTTGAAATCTGGGTTTTTTAATAATATTTTATTTTTACTAAATAAAAATTTATTTGGCGATATTTCAAAATCCTAATTTACCCAAGTCTGTAAGTTTACGACCTGTCCTAAGGAGGACGCAAGTAAATTATCTGAGGCCCCTCCTAGCATAATCGCTCTGGTTTTTTCCGCAAGGAAGACGACAAAACCTTGTTACCCAGATAAATATAATAAAGGGGAAGGTAGTGTTTGTAGCCCTCATAGACAACGAACATAATTAATTCCATACCTATTATATTAAGAAACACCTATTAATAAATTTATGACAAAATATCAAAAAAACCTATGATTCAAAATATATTTTAAAATATCTCCATTCCATTATCCTATAATAGATAAAAATGCAATAGAACATGAAATCGAATATTATAATGATAGAAAATTATACAAAGGAAAAGGAAATCAAAAACGTTGCAAATAGAATACAGCAAGAGTAATTATATCATTATCAGCTTAACTATTATTTCTATTTACATTTCTAAAGAATCTAAAAGAAAAAGGAAATGATGAATGAATGGAGATATTATAAGGTGTTAGACATTAAGCTAATCATATGTTTTACGTGTATAATTAAAAAATAAATCATAGTGAACTTTTATCTATTTTTTAATCAGTCTTCAGTCGAACCCGACCATCGGATTGTATGTCGGATCAAACCAAACTTTTGGACCCGTTAGTTTAATAAGACTTAACTGGGCTGGGCCATCGATTCGCCCTTTTCGTTGACGAACACTAGGGGAAGGGACTAAAAATCTCTTCCTATTTGGTCAATTTTATATATATATTAAATTTAATATTATATAAAATGTATTACATGATTAACGTTTATATAATAGTAGCCTGTTCAAATGTTTGTTTTTTGAATATTCTCAATATTGTATTGGGGGCTAACGTAATTTTTTTTAGAATCTTGTTTTCTAATTAAATTCTATTATTTTCAAAAATAAAATATAACTTAAGGCTAGCAGAACGTTCAAATGTTCGAACCCCTAATGCTAAAAAAAGGTTGCAAGTTAAAAATGGTTCTAGCGTTTGAGAAATTAAACATTTGCTAAAATACATATTATAATCGTAATAAGATCACATAATTCTTCCCGCAAAAATTTTATTATATTTTTTGACATTCCATGCAAGAAGGTTTTCGAAAAAATAATACAACCATATTTTATTTAAAAAAATTTATAAATACAAATGATTTAATAAATAATATATACAACATGTAATCTCATAAAAGAATTATTATAATACTATAAAAGTCCAAAATAAATGCAAATTGTATCAGGTTTACTTTAATTTATGATAAACAAATATCATACTCAACTAAAGGATAAGTGAGTTATATTCGCGATTAAGCTGTTGATGAACACGTCGACGATGGAACATTATCAGGACATAGACACATTCTATTATTGTTCATCCTGGGAACACAAATGTATTGACAGCCTCCTTTGTTTAGCGTGCATACATTTGTGTCAACTATAATATATAAATATTGAAATAATTTGATTTGGAATCATAAAATGAAGTAAAAAAGTTAAAAGGTGATGAGTTAAATATGGCTCCCCATAAAAAGTCATAAAGTTCTCATTTAGCCTCAAAATTTTATAGGTTTCTCTAAAGCACAAGAAACCAGGGTAACCTAAAAAGTTCTCCACACAGCTAGATTCATGACTGTTATATTTAAATTTAAAAAAAAAGAATTATAGCATGATTCAAACGGAAATATAAATAATGTTTTTTTTTTCAATTGATCGGTGATTTGGAAAAATTTCCACTGATTTTTTTAATATACGAACCATGTAATATTTTAAGTTGTAATCCTAGTTCTACTACACAAAAATATTATTATTTTATACTTTTCGGACAAGCGGTTAAAACATTGGTGATGCCGTAAATCCTTCCACTTCCACCCAAAGCGGGAATTAGTGGAGGATTAATGAGTCCCCTTTGCTTCTCAGCACTCATAATTTGGGATCTAAAAATTTAAAGAAATTATGATTTATTAATGAAGGCATAAATTAAAGCTTGATGCGCCTTAAAAATTCAGATTTCTTAAAAATAAAATTAATAAACTCGGTTTTATATATTGAACTAAAAACTATTTAAGCTTGGATTACCTCTTCCAATCTGTCCAATAAAAGTTAGAATCGGTTTGCGTCAAGCCAAAAGGATATGTTAAATTGGATACAAGAACGCGTCTAACGTTGTTGTAAAGGTTCAGGCATTCCAAATTTTTTGTGCCTTTTATAAATTTTACACATATGAAATTATTTTTAACGTTAACTCAATTAATTAAAAAATATTTCGGATTTCTTAATCATATGTTTTAATTTTAAAATGAAATATTTGCAAGTAATCTAATTAAAATTAGTAAAAGTTACAAACTGTAAAATAAAAGCCAAAAAATATATTTATATTTAAGTAATAATATGATATTATATGTTAACTATAATATTTTTTTTTAAAAAAAAGAATATTTAAATAAATTTCGGTTGGTTATAATCTCGTACAGAAGAAATGTTTTTATTTAAATTTTGCGGATCTCAGTAACTAATATTAGATATTCTCTATTTAACCTCTTAAATTATGGGCGTAAAAGATAAAAGTATGAAATTTAGAAAAACCTGCATCTACCCAGCATAACTGCCTAGAATTATCGTCAAAAATGAGGCTGTTTGGCAATTTAATATTTTGAACTATTAGTATTTTACGGTCCGAACCATCCATATAACAGCTTTCAATCTTAGGAATATCTCTATTCCAGTCACTCCAAAAGATACGTCTTAATTATTGCAAATAATATATAATTACCAAATAGTGATAAATTATTTATAATTGTTTTTTTAATTTCTAAAATTTTTATGCAATATTCCAAAAAAATATTCGTTTTTGATAAAACGTTATAAAATTTTGCCCATAGTTTCAAAAAAAATAATTTATATTAACGAATTATTTAATTATATATATATTTCTTAAATTCAAATAATAAAACGAACCCTTCTCTCCAATCCAAAGCAATGCCTCTAGGATTGATGATATTTTTATCTACCAACACCTTCCTATATTTTCCATCCAGAGAGGCTATTTCAATCGTTCGTTTAGCTGAATCGGTCCAAAATATATTTCTGTTTACCCAATCAATAGCCAATAATTCAGGCGTTTGAACGTCTAAATAAATGAGTGGTTTTTTGGAAAAAAATCTAATAAATTTTAAGGATTTAAAAATAAAATAAATTAGATGTATATTTATCAGGGTTTACAAACTATTAAGAGAAATATGTATCGATCATTAGAAAGAAAAATTTGAAAATGTTAAGAGAAATATAATCCGAGTTTTGGTATAATTTTTTATGATAAATTAAAACTTACAAACGTTTTACAACTTTAGCATGATGAATGTGGGTGAGAAAATTTTAAATTAATAATATCATAAAAAATTTGTCAACCAAGCTATCGGCGTAATCAAGCCTTAGTAAATTTACCTGTTATTGTAAACATCATTTTAAGCTAATAAAATATTTCTCATCATTTTAAGCTAATAAAAAATTCTCCCTACACTTCTCCGCCTACCTCTTCCCATTAAATCCTGGATGTGCCTATAAAACAAGACAAACCTTCATATATGAAATCGATGATTTTGGAACCGTCATGATTAGATCTCTTAATTTTTTTGCCCGAAACATCCGTCCAATAGAGAAACCCAGTCTGGCAATCGGCTCCAACACCCACAGCAATTTGGGTTTGGTCATTGGATAAATATTTACCTTGCATGTGTCCTATGGCCAATAGCTGCTCCAACAATTTTGAGGACTTTCTCTTGCGAGCAACCTTAGAGTTAGAGTAGGAATCCGGATAGGACTGTAAAAAGGAGACTGGAATCTGCACAATAGAACTTCCCTGGGCGTATATCAAGCCTATCGTCAACGGATTAGCAGCTTTTGTTTTTTGAAATAAAATATATTCATAGTGTAAGAACATGAGTTATAAAAGACACCGATTAAGGTAAAAAATATTCTTAAAAAAAAGACTATATTTTAAACCTCGGCACGCTCTGCCATCTCCAATAAAACCATATTTGCAACTGCATTTAAAATCTTTATTCAGGGCACCAAACGGAACGCATTCCGCGTTGGGATCACACATAGCTGGGTTTTCGTCGCAAGATATTTCTTAATAAAAATAAATAAACAAAATATTGATAAAGGTATAAGACAATTACCATGAATTAAAAATCAAAATATTGATAAAGGTATAAGACAATTACCATGAATTAAAAATATCAGAGTTGTTAAAAGATACTTTTTAAATGGATCTAGATACAGATACAACGTCTAAAATAATATCTAGATACAGATTATTTAATCAAAAATCTATCTAGATACAGATACCACATTTTTATATCTAGATACTTGTATCTAGATCCTTTAACAACTCTGAAAAATATATTTATATTTTATAAATATTTTACCATTCATACTGATACAGGTCTCTCCAGAATTGATAAAACCGGGATAACATTGGCACACATGATTATTCTTGATGGGATCTAATACACAAACCCCGGCCTGGTGCCCGCATATCGTCAGGTCATATTTACAACTCTTATCAAAAACACAAACTGTTATGCCATCGCCTTTATAGCCTGGATTGCACATGCATTCGAATAAGCTTCTAGTTGAATCATAAGTGCATTGAGCCCTTTCGTGACAATAATCAACATAACTGCAATCTTTTTTTAGTTGTGGTGGTGTGGGGGAAAGAGGGGGTTGTATCGATTTTATTATTAGTAATTATTAAGAGAATCATCATTTATTATGATATTTAGGAGATATTGAAAATCATGGAAATTATTTATTTTATGAATCTGAAGTATTACAAGACTAACCATGGAAATACATGAGTTTGACACGTTTGACATTCAGATATAATTAATCAATCAAATATTCGAATTTAACATTTATCTTCAGATTAATCAACTAATGCAGGAACAAAAACTATAATTATAGACATTTGTTTGATATATACAATTAATTTATTTACAAAGTTTTTTTGAAGCTTAATTATTTATACCTCGTGACATATCAGTAAATTTGCACTGTCTACCGTCACCCAAATATCCAATTTTACATCGGCAAGAATACAACTTCTTGGAGGCGTCCCAGAAACATTCGGCATTTTTATCGCATATATTGCTATTTTGGGAACAATCTTGAAGTTCTGTAAATATAGGTGTTGGAGAGACACCTAAAAAAATTTTAGTAAAAATAGACCAACTTAACAAATACTCTAGATAAATAAAAAAAAACGATACTTGAATTGAATTATTAGATAATATGTTATATTGGTATTGTTTAAGCGCATTTTATATATAAGGGAATCAGTCTTTCTTTTCTTTTCCTTCCTTCCTTCCTTCCTTCCTTCCGTCCGTCCGTCCGTCCTTCATTCTTTCATTTCTTTTTTACTCTCTTTCTTTATAGGATATTTAAAATTAAATATCTTTTCCCTTTTATTAAATATTGTTAGAATTTTATTTTTGTTCCAGCATACAAGGGCAAGTTATTCTAATTAGATATTGAGTTAGTTCCACCAACTGAAAGTTTAAATATAAATTTGAAAAAAAACGATGTTACAAATTCGGAATTAAAAAAAATGCAAAAAAAATGGAAACAGGAGTGGTCTCTACCTCGAACCAATTGTCTACATGTCCTCCAAAATCATACCTAGCTCATGTTTTATAATTCCATGTCAGGTTTAAAAAAAAATTACATGCGGGCTCTAGCGGGCTTTTAAAAAGATTTTAAACACTGAGCGGGTGAGCGCGGGCGGATTAAAAAATATTTTTAATGGGCTGACGGTGGGCGGGTGAATTTTAAATATTTTTCAGGCAAAAAAATTTTCAGATAAACGGACGGGTGTGAATTTAAAATAAAACCGTGGGCAGGTAGAATGGGTCAAAGTTTTTTAAAAGGGTGGGTGGGTGTTCAGGTTCAACCTAGTCTATTGCAGACTTTTAGTAAGAAATTCATTGATTTTATTTTTTTAATTCCCTTAAAACTTGTATCTCGTAATTTAGGGAATCAACTAAATATACTTGACGGACTGCTAATCATAATTTTATCGCAGTTGAATCCGTTCCCAAGGTAACCTTCTAAGCATCGGCATTGATTAATTCCAACAGATTTGTTTACATAGCATTCCGCGTTGATGTCACAAATACCTTCATCTTTAGAACAATCTTCACTCACATTTTGATTTATTCGACTAGTATCTTCATTAAATATTATGTATAAATTTAATAATCTATAATATATATTCAATTTAATGATAAATTAGATTATTTTTATAGTCTGATATTTTATATTTTATTAGAATACTAGATAATGATAGAAGTGTAATGATTTTTGTTTAGTATAATAATAATAATATTTTTTACAGATAAAACCAAAGTAAAGATTTAATGTATTTACAACAAAATTTTTCTATTAAATAAAAAAGTAAAGACTGAAATGGATATAATTCCTTGCTGACATAATAGATGTATATGGAATTGGGATATGGAATCCATGTCTCTCAATTTTCTATCATTTATTAAAAGCAATTTTTAAATTTTGAAAGTCTGATTTGAACGTAAATGTACATCATATGCTGTGTAACTACCCTGTGAATTTTAGACAATTTTTGTTGTTAAATTTTGGGATATTTCAATTCATATAAATAATCTATGTAAAAATGAGAGATAAATTAAGGGTAAAATGCCTGAATTTCACAGTGTTGGTACTCGAAATGTACGGGAATACATTCTCGCTCAAATCTAATTTTTTATATTTAAAATTCACTAAAACTATTAGATTTAGAATTGAAAGATTCCGAATTCTCATGAATTCCATATCCTAATACGACGACGTATACATAACGATATACGTAGCGTCACTATGGGTTATAAACTTTTATGAACTGGAATAACCATCAAACATTAAATTAACCAATATTATTTTCTCGATGCCATAATATATTAAAAATACTCTTAAATTAATTTTTTCTTTTAAAAATTTAAATTTAAAGCGAGTTTAGGATAAATTCCAATCTTTTCTCTCTCTACCCTTCTTTCTATTTCCTTCTTTTTTTCTTTTCTTTTCTTTTCATTTTTTTTGTTTACGTTTACTTGCAATTGTATACTGAACAAACGAAGCTAAGCATGTTTTTCCGTCCTCTGCAAATCCAAAGTTACATCTGCATAAATAAGAACCAGGTGTATTATAGCACGTAGTATAATTTTCACATTTGAACGTCTTTTCAGCGCACTCATTTACGTCTTTTATATTATTGTTGATAAAAGTCGATATAAAATAGGTATATATAACAGTTGAAGTTAATTTTCTGAATTAAATTTTTAATAATGAATTCAAATTAGGAGCAATTAATATTTAACCCCTATATTAAATATATAAATGTCAAAAAATTACTAACCAACCATTATGATAATTAAAATAAAATTTTTAATTTAAATTTAATGATATTTTATTTATTTCGTTGGAGCCCTACAATTGACATAATTTATTTAACTTAAATAAAGTTTAAATTATCATTAAAATTTTTAACGTAATCTCACATTTCTGCAAAATATATTAAAATAATTGAGAAGTTTCAGATATCATTTCTAGCGTTATATTATCATTTATAACACTGTTACCGTGACATAGTTCTCCGTTCCTCCTAAATCCAGTATTACATCTGCATTTGTAAGAATTTTCTGCCAGTGAACAAGATGAATATGGCGGACATAATATTTCTATGCAAGGATTGTGACCTTAGATAATTTTAATTACAAATGTTTAGTTACTACTTACAGGATCTTAAAAATATTATTAGAAATCAAACCTATAGGTCTGATTTTACTCTTGGAAGCGAATCTTACAACTTGTTCCCTCTCATCGTAAACAGCGAAATTTCTGGTTACAGCTAGAAGCGATCCAGGGCTCGATTTCCATCTATCCAAATGCTGACACTCGTCAAAATATATTTCTTGATTTAGATTGAAAGCTTTTTCTTCGGCGTTTATCTTGAAAATCAATTTGGATTGACTAATTATTTTACCTTGGTGGAATAGGAATTATTATTTTTTTTGAAATAAATAATATAATATTACAAAATAAATAAGACTATTTTTACGGAAAGCAAGGGTGGGTAAATAGTCACATGCTATAAGGATATTGTAAGCTCCTTATATATAAGTTATTTTATTTATTATGAAGCTAATACTACCTCATTTGTAGATTCGATGAATCATATATATTTAGAACAAATTTAATAAATTGTGAAATTTTGCCTTATACCTTTTAAAGAAAAATCCTAGTCAAAATCAGGCCTTCGATTATATTTAATCTATATAAACCACACTATTCTATATTAAACATTGGATGTTATATAGATTTCTTTTATTTTAAATCAATTTTAAGTTGCATTTTAGTATGTGACTATATCCAAACTCAAATACCTTAGATCTTAGAATAATAATTTGTTAAATTTATTGATTGACTAGATGGTAATATCAAATTAATTGATCAAAATAAAAGCAATCTTGGAATTAACTACATATATATTTCTTTATTTTTCACTGACTATTTATTAAAAGCTAAAGACGACGCCAGAGTTTGCAATTTATAATTATTTCAAAAAATAATTAATTTATTTACCTGGTGCCACATTTTTGAACTCCTCCATATAATCTAAAAAGTCGATTTGATTGTGACTCTCCACATTTGGGATGTCTCCTTGTATCTCTATGCTCATTTTTAAATTTCCGAATATATCTGTGCCTTGGAAATATTCCTTGATATCAATCTGCTCTCTAGTAATGGGAAAGTTAATTGTGGTAGTACGATTAAAGATCCCACCTAAGGTTTTAGGAAAAATTAAATTTTTTTAAAATTTAATAAGAAAATACCGGTCAGGAAGCCTGCTATAAAAATAATTTCTAAATACTGTGAGCATGCTATAAAATGTTCCAACAATAAAGCTAAAGTATTTCTTGATGAAGGAAGTGCGTTTGAGATGATGTGGGGAAAGAAATGATATGGTAGAGGTATCAATAGTGAACTCTGGTAGTGGAATCAAGATGTCAAATAATGTCATAAATTGAAATACCAATACATTGGCTACCTTTGATATAAAGAGAAGCAAGCCGACATAAAGAATACAGCATTGATGGCAAAAAAAAAGTCTCGATAGAGGGAGGTAAGGAGAGGACGTAAAAACTAACAAAGATTAGAGAAATTCACATGGTGTGGGGGTGTGTTGAAAGTTGCTTTTAACCGAAGAGTGATTGAGAAATGGAAAATATATCTTTAACAGATTTTAAATTTTAAAAATGGGAAAGAAAAATTTCTTACAATGTTAACCAAATAAGTGAGAGAGAAGTCTATTACCAACTTCATAAGAAGCAAACGATTGAACTTTGTAGGGTTAGAAGCATGGTATGGGTATCTCAAATAAGGAGTCAAGAGTGAAAGTATTAATCAAACTGTTCTGTATAATTTAAAAAGTAATATATTAAATGAGGTGTGATTATTCCTTTCTGTTTAAAATAAGGAGAAATTCCATAAGATTGAGGTAACTTTTGGGAGAATCTAATTGACTAGCCATATAATGAAAGTTCTGGTAAAAATTGTTGAAGCGCTTAAGAGATGAGATGGATTTCGCGGAAAACAATTGGGATTTATACCAAAAAATTCTACCGTAGATACGGATGTTGATAAAATATGGATAAGAAGAGATCTAGTATGCATAGTTTTTAAAAAATTAAGCTTATGTTACTTGACGGCGTGAATTGATCTGAATAAGCCTATGACAACTTTTTATTCAAGAAAGGTGTAATGATTAACTACCGTAGACCTCAAATGTTACAAGAACTATCTGTTTCATCAAAAATATATATAAATGTTCTGAAGCCGTTTATGTTTTAGTTCATTATTTATCCAGTAGAAATATGATGGCGTTGTTTAGGATATAGGGGAGACCGGGAATAGGGTGTTCCCGGGGCAGGTATTTCCTTCTTAAACAATTTAACTAATAAATTTTGAGATTTGAAATTTAAACCAAAGATGTATTTAAATAAGGTGCTAAAGTAGGTCTTAAAATATTTCGGACAAAATTGCTCATGAAAAATTTTAATAGCATATTTAAAATTTAACATACCAAAAGTAACTTTTTAAAATTTTACATTTTTACTAATAACTTTTTCTAAAAAAGTTTTTCAGACTTATAATTCTAAATGATAAAAAAAATTTCCATTTTATCATATATAAAAATATTGACAATATTTGTGGTAATTTAATATCTTAAAATTAAATTTTAATTAATTGTGAAGACCTGGAGCTTAGGCGGGGTACGTATTAGCCATTTTTAAGCAGGGATTTTTTTTGAATAAAAGAAATCCACTAAATTTATAAAAACATTAGAAGCCACTAGTTTGTCTCGGGTCACGAATGACATTATGAAGGTGATTTACTTATTTTTTGTAAGTTATATGACAGTTTTAAGTATAATAATTCTTTCGGGTAATATAAGATGAATCTAATAGATTTAACATATTTGACAATTTATTTCTATTTTAGAAATAATATTTTCATATAAATTCTTTTTAAAAATCTAAAAATAAAAAAGCGTTATAATGCGCAACGCGAAAGGATAATAGGTACCCCGGGTGTTTTTCATAATTCTTGAATTTTCATTTTTTTAAAATTTCATATTAATTAAAGATTTCTTTTTTTTTTCTTAAATATTAATTTCTACTATAGAGATATATATGAAGAATAAAATTACGTTTAAACATTTTGGAAAAATTGCTTCATCTATTTTTTATAGCACTTCAATTTTTGGTGAACATATAACCCCGGTCTCCCTTACGTGATATTTTTGTCAGTAATATTACTGAGTACAATTACGAACAAAAAAACATATTGTTATACGAATGATTACTAAGATGTTTTTTAAATTCAATATTATAAAATTTAAAGTATATCACGTATATTCTAAATATACGTAGATTTTGAGGCAAGTTTGAAATTTAAGGAGTTGAAATACAATAATGTAGGCCCCGGGGGTTTCGGATTGAGTATCTCGGCATCAATGTTAAAGCACTATGATGGCCATATTTAATAATTTAAGTTATGTACCATATTATATGGACTATTTGTAGGTAAGATGAACAAAGAAAGAGCACAATGGGAGGCTGAGTGAAGTCTTAGACAGGCTAGTCAAAAAAAGTTATTTTGGGAATTTTATTATAGGAAATGAGATGAGTCAGATAAGTAGTAAGAACATTGAGAATATTATATGAGAGAGACCACGTGTAAGACATCGCCGTTACTTATTATTATAAATTCTGTGCAATTTTTTTGGTTACATCTTCAAAAAGAAGAAGTAGAAAAGAAAAAAAAAGAAAATGGCGTTCAATTAGTTTCGCTTTTTAATTTGTCGTCAAGTATTAATATATTTCATGTCACAGGATAGGCTGCTAAAAAATGATTCGTTTTATAAACGAAAATATTATTTTTTTGAGATTGTGAATATGGAATTGATTTTTTTTTTAAAAAATTATATTATTTACCAGTCACCGTAAATCCGTTCGAAACATTTTCAGGATTGACAGCGAATAGCCAATTGATAGATTCTGCTATGGGTAACAACATCTTCATGCTGTGGCTTATCTTTGGAGGCACCTGGCTGAGGGCTGTATAAATTCTTCCGTCTACCGTAACTACGTAAGAATGCAACTCTATATTTTTCAAGATCTCGCCGTTGATTTTACCATTAACTCTACCTATAACCCTCAATGGGGTTTCTGATTTAATATACAAAAAGATTGTTTAGATATCAAATAATTAACATACTTTCCTTTTTAATTGTGTATAATAATATTTTCTTTCATTTTGGGTAATATATTCCTTTGAAAGAATTTTTAATTAATATCAAATTAAATTAAACAATATTTAAAAAAAAATTTTTTTTACTTTCGATGATGCAATTGATTCCATTACCAAAATGTCCTGGCTTGCATTTGCAACAAAATCCTTTTTTGTAGTTTGTACAAATCGAATTTAAAGGACAAGAATATTCGTCACATATTTCAATTTCGTTCGATGCCGTTAAATCAGACGAGGATAACTCTGTAATAAATTAAAGAGCACGCAATTTTTTAAGAGATGTAAAATAAAATAAAAGAAAGGACCAATAAAAATTATCACTCCATTTACTTTTTTTTTAAGGTTTCGTTATATAGAATAATGGATTTTACTGTGTATTTAGCAAAAACAACAAAGAAACATGTAATAGCTTTCATTTCAAATTGATTAGATAATAAGTATAAAATTTTTTAAAGAATTGTATAATATTTCCCTTTTTTTTGTATTTTGGGACAAAATTTATTTATTTTTAATTGAATATTTGGATCAAATTAATATACTTTTGAGATGTTTTGGTTCATTGATTTGACGAACATATCCGATTTTGTATATCCATACACCAGGAATATCCACATTAGATCGCCTTGTTGAGTTTAAAATAAGAAAATACAATATAAAATATACAATTGAATATTTTATTTTAAAAAAATCAAGACTAAATTTAATAATCATTTTAATTTGTTTTTAAATTGATAAACTTCATGAGGGATAGAATGGCGTGACCTTTTGAGTTCGGTAATTTGTAATACCGGAAACCATCCCCAGCATCAAACCCAACCTATTAAAGGGTTTATTTTTAAAAAATATATATTGTATTCATATTTAATTAAATTAAGTATGGTTTATAGATATTGCATGAGTATGTTCTTAAATCTGACTGCTGTGCCCGTAGCCGTACACACGAGTTGCAGATGACACAATATTAATTAGTTCATATACCACTCGTATTAATCTAACTCAGCCCCAACATTGCAACACTCAATTTTTGTTCTTTATATCCCCTACTTTTCGTTTCTCATTTGTTTAGTTCCAAATACGAAAATGTATCCTCTTTATTAGCTCTATATCTAACTTTTATATCAAAACTCCCAATCATCAATAATCACGTTTCCAGTAGTGGCGAGAACATAATTTTATTTTTATAAACAGATAAATGCACTCAAATACTTAAGTAAGACACATTCCGCTAAATCAAATAAAATAGAGCTGATAAAAATAATAATTTGCTTGGTATATAAATACTTTCCCAACTCCCCCTCCCCTCCCTCCTTTTGGTATGCCTATGATCTATATATATTATACCATCATATGTATGAGATAGCTTGCCAAGTCAAATAATATCCTTAAAACTGACATTGAAGAATAAAAATTGGATTTGACCACATATTCAATAACCAATATATATGATATGTCTATATATTAATTAATAAATATAACTATAAAAAAAAGTACCTGAGCATTTAGGGGAGGTAAATTAGGCATTTTAGATTTTGTGGCATACCAATTAATGCCATCTTCTGGGTACAATAATATCGCATAAGTCGTATTGCCTCCGTTAGCTAAAATTATTTGAAAGGTATTGCCCTAATTTTATTATATGAAAACAGTTTTCTTTTGATTGTTTTGCAATTTCCACAAGAATTATGAATTTTTTTCTCTTAATGCATATAATATCAACTAGATCAAGAACAAGATCTATGAAAATTTGATATTTGCATTTTTGAATGTCATAAAAAAAAATTTGCATAATTTTGTTGATTATTTTTAAATAAATCATTATTTCTCATTATTTTTTTTCCTTATTATATTTGCTAAATATGCCTTAAAAATGAATAAATAGATTAATCTATTTTAAAACCTCGTTAGCCACTTGCAAATATCCTCTAACATTTTCCCAAGTAGCCGCAAATATGTGATCAACATGAAATTCCGTATCATTTTTATTTACAGTCTTAATAAGGTGATCTATAATTTCGCGCGTCTTATCATTTCGGTATTTCCTATAAAACAAAATAAATTATACTTAGCATGCAGTAGCGTCATTAAGAAGTGGTGGATAGGAGCTATCCGCTGACTATAAAGAGTCCTAAAAATATTGATTTTTTTTAGATACTGTTCTTTTTTTGCAAATTTTATGATATTTTTTGGTGATTTTTATAGAATTTTATTTTTATTTGGCTCATTTTAGATAGAATTATCTTTTTTTGGTAATATTGGAAATTTTATTTTAAAAAAGAACCCATCAAGTCGAAAACGCTAGTGACGGTACTAATAGCATGGTACATAAATTATTATAAGTTGTGTTATATTCTAACGAATAGCATTAAAAATAAATAAAGAATTGTATTTAAAGGCAAAACAATCGATAAATTGTTATGTCATCAAGTTTTGACCTGGATTGCATAATTTCTTAAATATGAAAATCGGAGAAATCTTTTATAAAACTTGAATTTATGTGGCATAAAAATGGTAATATAAGGGTTACCTTTTTTTAGCAGCCCGTAAGAACCGGGGGGAGGGGGATCAAAATATTTATGTTGAATAAAAGTAACGATATCCCGATAATATTTGATAATAATGGGACAAAAATCTACCAATAAAAGTTTAAAACGATAGGAAGGGTAAGGGGTACACTCCGAGAGTGGTTTTAAATAATCACTAATAATATCAAAGGTATACATATCATTGATATGATTTGCATGACAAAGCTATTTGATTTAACGTTTATTTACCAGCAATAGTAAGGGCAGGGAAAGTAGGAATTAGCAAGCAATTAAAATTTGTTTCAAGATTTATGGTGTGAGTGTGGAATTATTTAATTCAACGTTTAAAATTTAGGACAGAAAATTGCACTTTTGTATCATGAAAAATATGGATAATGTTTAAATTTTGTGACATATTTTTATCCACTTTTGGCATATCATACACGTATACCAAATCAGAACTCTATTTTTTAAGCTAAAATATTGGTCCAATCAAATCCACACTCTTGTTGTTAAAAGACTCCATTTTAAAAGACGTCTAACCCAATATTTAGCCAAAATAATATTACGAAAGCCTAGAGATTTCGTTAATAGATGTCCAAGCCTTTTCTGTCATCTCTGAGCAAAATATGCGGGCTTGCGTAATATTTTTTTTGCTAAAATATATTGGGATAGCCGTTTATTAAAAATCGAGCCGTTTACACTCACATAATAACTCATAAATTTATCATTTAAAAAAAAAGTATACTTAACCCATAATAAATCCTTCCAGATCTAGATAATTCTATATCACTGTATAATCCTGCTATAAGAGGGTATCCTATTGGGAATTCTTTATTAACGTAGGATGGAATTTCAGTATCGAAAGAGAGGATTCCATTGGAATTAACCTGAATAATATTTAGATTCATATTCCTTTAAGGGTTTTAAGTCATAATTCAATTCAATTATATCATTTTTTTTTAAAAAATTAATAGATGCATCGAAATTACAAAAACTAAGAAAAATTTTTAAATAAATTAATAGGTAAATTAATTTTTTTCCCTTTTAGGGGAGAATTACAAAAGTGTACAACACTAACATTTTTCAAAAATTTAAGAAAAAAATTGTATAAATTAACCCTTTTTTTTAAATAAATTTTTCCAAATTTAGCAAACTAATTTTTTTTTAACATATATTTTTAAACTAAATTCGTTTCTTAAGATAAATTGATTATTTTTGACGGAAACATCTCTATATTTTTTTTAATTAAACGATTTTGAGGGGGGAGGGGAGAGCAGTTCTATTTCATAATGAATTAGGAGAGGAAATGCCCATAGCTTTTTTTCTCTAAGGGTTTTAACATCAGCAGAATAGCGGATCTCAGATCACGGAGTTTGATATAGATAAAGGGTGCATTTTGAAGAAAAATTAAATAAAATATTAGGAAATCTGCACAATAAACATTAGTGTTTCACACTTGCAAGAAAAAATGAAAAGATATTTCTAGTAGCTTGGAATACGTGTAGATATTAAGGTGATTTTAAATTGCAGGAAGTTCCCAGAAAATTCTCCATTGTTTTCAAAGGAGCATCATTGGGTAAATCTACAGGAACCATGGTATCGATTTTTGGCTGATTTCTTTTGCACAATACATGGCTCCTATGACTTAGTTGTAGTAATGGGTGTAAAAAATTGTTAGAGATTATACTAATGAAAAGGATTATTACTGGTCTATTAATTAAATAGAATTTTGACAATTAAGATTTCCAAAAGAAATAGAAACTAATAGTGCAGATCTTAAGAATTCTAATAATTTCTTGACCATAAGTGTATAACACCTATATTTTCCCCAATTTACCATTTATATTCTAATGGGGAAGCGAAATAATGGTAAATCCGCCAAAGATGCTACTTACAAGATAAAGGATTGGAAGGAAGGTTAGTCGAAATTTTTAACTAGTCATAGGGGTGTTTATTAGCCAGTTTTTGGGGGTGAGTAAATTTTGTGGGATCAGATTTTCCCAGAAACTAATTTCAATTTCTTTGGTGAAATGAAATAATTACTATCCCAATTTCAACATTTTCGATTAGGGAATATGTACCTTTTAATAATGTAATTTTTTAATTATACCTATAGAATTTTTCTAAGAACTAAGGGACGAGGAGAGGAGATATGTAAAAAACATGCATATGTATAACTTTTTATTATTCACATATTTATTTGAAGAGTTAATTCGTCAATAAATGTGTACATGAAAAAGATCTTTTTCCACGGTAAAACATATTAAATTTTAATTAGTTCGATAATTGGTCAGAAAAGGTTAAATACGCTTTGTTATAAATATATTGTATTTTTACATTTAAAATGAATAATCTTATTTATGTCTTAACTGTCTTTAATTTTTGGAATAAGCTTTAAGCCGAGATTACCCATTTTTCAACTGTATTAATTAACATTTTCTGAAAAAAAATTTCACTTGACGCATTCAATTTGAAACATGCTTAAATGAAAATTTGAAAGGGGGTTGGGATTTAAATCGAAAAAAATTTGGAAAGCTTACGAATAGACTGGAATATTGCTTGTCATAAAAATATATCGGATATCCTAACCCAATTTCGTTAGAACTGGTTTCATCCAACGAGGCCAAACCTGTGGAAGATTGAGAGTCGTAAGGAAGCAAGAAAGATTTTTTGATCCCTGTCACGGACTTAAGTCGCTGATGGAATAGCAGATAACATATCAATATTAAAATCGAACTGCAATGCATTTGAATATGAATAGTTTCTTATTTTCTATTTTGGAAAGAAATAAACACTTTCTATAGAAGAAGAAAAACGAAAGATGAGAATAGAAATTCAGGAATTGCAATGTGTTTGTTGGTTGCTTACGGATGCGATCACGACTATAATTAAAAAATGTGTTATATTTTCATGAGAAATTGCATTTTTTTTCTTTCAAATTTAATTTTTTAACCTTGTTATTATTAGTTATATATATAAAAAAAATAATTGAAAAATATAATTATATATTAAGATTATTATGTGAATAAAAATAAAATCTTTGTTACACCATGCGATTTTTTTATATTTTTTTTTAAAAAACAATTTGTTTTAGGGATCCCTGAATTATAATTGCTTTGATAAATGGAATAATATATTCGCTATTTTAATTTTATCGGATAAATGTGATTTAGACACTTTTTCACATTCAAAATATTTTAAATAAGAAGGAATCTTAGACGAATCTGCAGAATTTTAATACAAGAATATTTTGGTTCTTTTTTTTGCTAATATAAAAAGATTATCCTAATGGATTATAAAGTATTATTAAATTAATATAAAATCATTTTTTAAAGTTTCAATAATTTTAAAAATAACTACTTTTTAAGTTAAGAAGTGTAATGCAATATGAATTTTGAAAAAAAAAAATGAAGAAAGCATTGCGGAATATTCAACACATGTCATTTGTTTATATTTTTATTTTAAATCATCAAATTAAAATTTAATGTTGATGGTTTGGTTGGGTGGTTGTATTAATATTGTAGTAGGTTTTAAGTAAGAGATAAAATAATGAAATATTTTTCATTTCAATAAAAGAAAAGAAAAGAAAAGAAAAGAAAAGAAAAGAAAAGAAAAGAAAAGAAAAGAAAAGAAAAGAAAAGAAAAGAAAAGAAAAGAAAAGAAAAGAAAAGAAAAGAAAAGAAAAGAAAAGAAAAGAAAAGAAAAGAAAAGAAAAGAAAAGAAAAGAAAAGAAAAGGGAACTCTCTATTCAAAAAACGCTATTAAATTTAAATGTTTTTATCCCCTCCCCAATGATGCCACCTCATCACGACTAACTTTTTAATAAAGGATAATATTCTTCTCTTTTTTTTGCCTAAAAAAAATAATCATGATCTAAAAATTACCGAAATGGTGAACCCAATGATTTATCTTATAACTATAACATAGTTTTCTTTATTTTGTTTTATATAAAAAATAGCACAAGCAATATATTGATTTATTTTTGATAAAATGTTTGGAAAAGTTCAATATGTAATCGGATTGGTTAATAAAATGTTTTATTTAAAAAAAAAAAAATTAGTCTAGTTATTTATAAAATAGGTTTTAAAAAAAATTATGAAAATAGTTTTGTTTAAAATAAAAAATAATTATATCTGATATAACTACCAAAAAAATAGAAGTAGACTGTTAATCACCACGCCCATTATTTCTTTTAAATTATTTTCTAAAATCAAGCATTGTCTTATGAATGAATATCAAGTAAGTAACTAGTGGGTAGAACTTTGCGAGCCGCCGCTTGGTTATTTTAGTCATGCCACGGGGGCGATAATATATCGGCGAGGCGTAAAGCAATTATGTTATGGCTATAATATCTATAATTATAATACATTCATTTTTATGATTATATAATTACATTATAATTATAATACATTCTTTTTTATGATTATATAATTAAATATAAAATTGTAGAGAAGGGCCGTACTAGAGGGGGAGATTTGGGGAGCCGGCCTCTACGCAATTTTTGTCTCGCTCCCAAAGATTGCAGATTGTCACTTTAATTGTAATAGAAAAGTATAAAATAAGGAAATAACCCACCATGTGAGAGAGAGGAACTTGGCCTTCAAATTTGTTTCTAATAACTTAAATACAAATAAATTATTGACTCCCAATTAAACTTTTGCAACCCCCCCCCCCCGAACTGAAGCTTCCTGATTACGGGCTTGCCAAAATATTACATAAATTATTTTATTATTAATATTACCTAATTTAGTCATTTACCAATTAGTGATATTTTGCTTATGTTTTTATTTATTACATAATTCATATACTAATATGTATCCTCATAAAAAATGATGAAAAGTGATCGAAATATGCAATTACTCGTCGGTGATCGATATGTGCAATTTCTAACCAATTACACAAAAAATTTATGCCCCATTCCCCCCCCCACCTCTTGAAAAAAATGCCTAGTTAATGCCATGTTTCAAAGTCAATAAAAATATGTAAACGTCTATTTGCTGTTTATATAGATTATCATCTCATTAAGCCTAAAATATTGCATGCCATGTATAATTTATTTTGTTCTATAAGAAATACCGAAATGATACGACGCGTGGAATTATAGATCACCTTATTAAGACTGTAAATAAGAATGATACTGAATTTCATGTTGATCACATATTTGCGGCCACTTGGGAAAATGTTAGGGGGTTTTAATTTATTAAATTTTAACGCATTAGCAAATATATAAGGAAGATAATGATAAGATATAATGATTTTTTTAAAAATAATCAACAAAAGTATGCATGTTTTTTTATGAGATTCAAAAATGCCAAAATCAAATTTTCACAGATCTTGATCTAAATGAAATTATATGTTTTATCCAAAAAGCACAGTTTACATTGCCCTATAGTTTTAAAGACCGAATCTTCAAGCACAACCAATACACTTTTGATCAAACCGAGCCTTTAGGCCTAAGGACTCGCCATACTTGAACCACCTGTAGAATCCCCCTGATCCAAGCTTCAATAAAAATTTTACACAATCGAAAACTTATATTCAAATATAAATGTTAACAAAACATAAACTTAAAGTTCATAATCAACTTTCATAATGTCTTTGCCCTCAGTTTTAAAACTTTTTTCCCAATTGAAACATCGGCCTATAAAATCGTCCTTCTCACTTTTCCACTCTCATCTTTAACAACCGCATATATTATTAACGATTGCTTTTCTTTAGTTTCTTATACGACTGCTTGCATTTGACAACCATTTTTTGCATATAATGATGACTGATAGACAATAATGATTGTATCTTCCATGAAGCTTAACAGATATCGATTAGCGTAACAGATATCTATTATACTGTTTTCCTTATCTAACGATAGCTTTAACTCTTAACGATTTATCTTCCTCTTTTTTCAAACATGGCTTATAGACTATTAACAATTATTTCTTCTATTACGCGTAACAGATGCCAATTATACTGTCTTCTTTATTTAGCGACAACTTGAATTGATCTCCGTCTTTTTTCAACTATTTGTTGCTTCCAAAGACCGCTTGTCAATTACCGATTAATTCTATTTTTTTCTCACGCAAGCTTGTAAACCATTAACGATTAGTCCTAATCATTTTGGATTTTATTAAAAGAAATTATATGAGTCACGAGATGATATAATCAATATTTTAGGTTTTTATGTTGTGGCCAGAAGTTAACAAAGTATAACCTTAGGGATTACAACTATAAAAACCTAACTTATTTTAAGTTGGAGTGACATTAATAAGGCTGTAGCCCTGCTTAGAATTGATGGAATTTGTTTAAAACTCATTGAGGTAAACAATAAAAAATAGTAAAAAATAATTATAGGGTGGTTTTAAAGGAGAACGTTTAAATATTTGAAGTCGATTTACTATTAGTTTAGAGTGTGCCTCAATTTTATGATATTAGAAAATTGTCATTCCAGTGAATAGAATATATGATATAGACAGATAATTAGATAAAGGTTAAAAAAATAGATAATAAGATCAATTATATGTAGGCAACACTAGGTAAAATAATGGTAGCTTGAAGTTTTGAGTGGATTAACATTTATCTTTAAGCCCAGAAGTGAGACAAGTTAGTCATAAAGGTTTGTTTTTAGTTCTGAAGATTTCACTTCTGATCAAAAGTATCAGCTCCAATTTTTAAAAGTCTACTGATTTCAAAAGATTAGGTGACACAATGTATTATTTAGATGATATAATGTTATCAGATCATTTGAAAGAGGAGCATGTAATTAAAGTTTTAGAGATAATCTTAGAAAAGCTTTACGAACTAATATGAAATAAATTATTTTTGGAGTAAAATAAAAAATATTTCTAGGTTATCTGATAGAGGAAAGCAAAATTTCTCCCAATTACTAAGAATATTAAAAGGATTATTATCATAGGATTACCGATTAAATGGGTATTATAATTAGTTAGAATAAAATGTGAAATTTATGGTTCCACGGGCGGAATTCTCATATGATAATTCGTACAAAAATTATATTTCTTTATTCAATTTAAAATTAAATCCAAAACTTTCATATAAAAATATAATTATTTTATACATATAAAAAAAACATTTTATAAAAATAAATAAATATAGTATTGGAGGATATGTTTGTGACGGTGTTAAAAAAAAAATAAAAAATAATATATTGAGGTTAGGAAGGATAATCTTGTGGGGAGAGACTGCTTATGAAGCTAATATAATTAGCCTTGTGTATTGCGATGGAGAGCCTTTGCCTTAAGAAGAAGCCCTCGCGGGGTTCACCGGTTAGTTGACGAATGTGGGAGCCGAGTTCCTTGAAAAAGGAAAAGGCATATTTCCCAAAAGTAGTAAGGGTAGTGGAAATAATGGGGATGAAAATATATTCTTGAGAGATTTCGGAATATTTCGCTATTTTGAGTGTCTCCTTTTTCTCGAGTATATTGACTGTTTGATTTGATGGAGCGAGTGGATCAATACAAGAATAGTCCCAGACCAGGAATTAACCGCGCTTCCAAGGAATTTGCGAAATACCGTCAGGCCGTTTCCCATCAGATCTGAAAAGACCGGATGGTTCAAGAGTGGAGGGGATTTGAGCAGATCTAAGAGCTCTAAGAATGATCGAATTGCATAGATTATGTCTTACAATTCGACCTTTACATGAGCGACAATGAAGACTATGTCTTCCATTGCCCAAAACTGCGGAGCCGCAACCTGAACATATGTGGGGTTGGGTAATAAGGCAATTTAAACGGATACCGATTGCATGTGTGAGCTCGTTTTTATTTAGTTGTAATTGCAGATTAATAGACGGAATGGTCTCGAGAAACTCATGGCCTGAACCATTAAGCAAAGAAGAGAATAAGGGACGGTCTGATAATTGCATTCTGGAAAGAAGTGATTCAACGCAGAGTGCAATAATAGGCCTATCCCAGTCCTTCTGCTTATTAGATTCAGGAAGAGGGTGATCAGCAGAAATTCGTGTCCTCCATTCGATGATTGCATCATTAAAAGAAGAGTCGGGTTTTAAAGAATTGGGATTTATTATGTTTTTAGTTAGTAGGCTACTGGATATAAAGGCCGTTAAGGCGAGATCGGATGGAGATCTGAGGCCCAGACCTCCCATCTTTGTGGGTAAAGAAGCTTGTGTCCAAGCAATTTCATCGAATTTAAGATTAATAAATCCAAAACTTTTATCAATAATCAAAAAATATCTTTTCTCCCAAACAAAAAGCGTTATTCATTTTAAAAAAATACCCCACACTCTCCAACATAATCACCATATCTCTCTATCATATACTCATAATTACAACATCTCCCCTCCTGTACATTTCTCTCTCGGCCTCAATTGATCTTGACTGCAATATACTTTTTCATTGTCATCTTCAACCTTGTATTTGGCACTGCCAATTATTTCTTCCATCTTTCCCATCGTCCATCTAAATTTTCTCTTGAACATTAAAATATATACTTCTTGTCCCAAAGTCAAATTTACTAGATTTCACTAATCCAGCCTTTTCATTTCCTCCTTCCTTTAACGAATCCAGCATTAAAAATGTCTTTCCTCGCAAAAAAATTTCCGCCGGAGATCTATTTCCATTCCTGCTATTATTGAAAATAATTGCAATAACCATCTTTCACCGTCACCACATCTTTCCTTTTTCAACCACGATTTCACCACTAAAACCATTCTCTCGGCCTGACCATCATATACTCATAATTACAACAATGGAGTTATAAGCTTTTTTAGGCGTTACTATTATAGTTTTATACAGAAATTTGCCGAGATGAATACATCTTTGTGTAATTTTTTTTTAAATATTATATTTGAATGGGGGAATAGGGAAGAAAAAGCTGTAGTTTTAAGGAAGAAATTATATAGAAACCCGATTTGACTTGTTTTGATGAAGCTTCCTATATAATATTGGCCGTAAATAAGTCTAAGGAAGGAATCGGATGATATTTATTCCAAGTCGTAGATGATATTGAAAATAATATTGTTAAATTATCTACCTTTGGCCAGCTTCAATCCGGCTTAGTCAAGCCTTTAGACTAAAAAGTTTACTTTAACCTCTCAATTGATTTTCATCATACAGATAGGGGCGTTTATTTTAGAAACGAAAGGTAGAGGAGCGTTTTTGAGTTGTCCAAAGTTACATGATTTAACAAAGTTAATAGTGGGTATAAAAAATTTATTATTTAAAAGCGAGATACTTATTTAGTTATAGTTTTTTAAAATAAATATTTTGGAGGGCCCATAAACTCCCATGCCACTATAAAATATATACATTAATACTCTAATGTATGTATTTGTAACTCCTCATTATTACTAGTTGTATTTCTAAAAAAGTTGCTAATTTATTTAGAATTTTGAAAATAATTTTAACTAATATATAGCTTTAAAGTATTCATATTCATGTTTATATACAAAAAAAGGTAATAAATATTCGAAATTTGATGAGCAAAAAATTATTTTAGCTACCTCCCAAATTAGTATCATCCCTTGCTTCATAAAACCTAAATCTTTCAATAATCTAAATTAACAAGAGAGTGCGAAAAAGAATTTGAATGTAACACTCATTTGAGGACACCTAAATGAATATAATACTTTCTAAAAAAAAGACTTTTAATAAGTCTAAATCTATCTGATAAAGGCTGTACGACTTGCGAACTCCTCATCTTTATTAGTTTTTAATTGTAACTTAAGGTCATTTTAGAAAAACAGTTCCAAATTATAATTTTGTTATCAGAATCAATCAATATATTTTGATTTTTGATTATTGCATTAAAATTTTTGTCTTATTTTCATATTATTTACTTTTATTTTTTTCTCTAAATTTATCAATTAAAAAGATTTTAACATTAGAATATTTAAACGCGTTAATTTTTAAGCATTAAATATTCGAAGCCTTATTATTTTATTAATATATCACCACAACAAAGGAGTATAGAAGATACTTTTTAATTATAAAATATCATTAAGCTCAATTGCGAGGATTTAGAATCAATGTATGGGATCAAAAACATCCAAAAATAGTAATAAAAACGTTGCTTATAGAAAGGAACCATCCGAAAGAAACTGTCTATCTACAATTCCATTTATAAAGAGCACCAATTCGGAGAATTCTCCCGAAAAACTGGTTTCTAAGAAGAAAAAAGACACGGAATATTATTCTCCGGCCTATTCTAAAGACTCGAAATCCCCTACTTATAGCAGTAATGACAGTTAAGTTATTTATATCTCATTAATTTTTATTTTTTTAGTGGATACTTTTTGTGTAAATTATTTACAAACACTAAAAAAAATAAAAAAATTACTTGATCACGAAGTTGGCAAAATAATAGAAGTCTCATCTTTTATACAATACTTATTAATTTTTGAAATAAATGCATAAGATTTGAGCGTAACCAGTTAATCTGTGAAAACCTGTGTAAGTAATTATAATGATTCATGAAATCGCTTAGGAGTTTAAACTGTATTAAGGAAAAGATTATTGTTTTTTTTACTCATTTTACTAGGAATGATTATAATTTAAATGTCTAATATATATCGTCGATGAGAATTTGGTTATTTTATATCTTCTATTTGTCAAAAATGATTTTTTTTTATATAAATCAATTTTTTATAATATGCCATTCTATTTATATTAAAAAATCCTAAATATTTATAAAATAACTCAAATTAAATCCGATATTAGACAATCCTTTTGAAAACAGTAGAAACTTAATTTTTATAATTCTCTCCTGTAAAATTATAAAAAGTGGAGATAGAATAATCTACTCAGGCGACGATATATAAAGTTAACATGGATATATTTAAACGTTGTATATTATAGCAACGCCACAATCTTCGTCTGAAGGATCGGTATATACTCCCTCAAATGTCTCTAGTTCCCGCCAAACTTATTCCGAAGGTGTATATGGTATACATTATTTTTATTGATGAATTTCTTTTAAAAAAACAAATTAAAGGTTGAAAATTCCGCTCTGTATAATAGTAGAGGTAGATTTGCAACCGGTGGGTTTTTGTATGGTTAAGAAATTGTGAACATTTGGCCAGCGAGTGGAATAATTATTATTTGACAAACTCAATAGTTTTTCTAAGGTTATATCTATTTTTTTCCTAAAGGGTAGAAAATTCCATCCATTTACTAAAACTATTCAAATAACATTCTAAAAGTCTACTTTTTTAAAACAATACTTCTGACATGTCTTAAAATTAATAGACGCAATTAACACATCACTCCATTCCCTTTCCTAGTAATACTGCTGACTCTCGTAATCTCCCGAAGTTGTATAGTTAGATATGGATTAGGAAGTTAATAATATTTCTATAATGTTTTGCATATATTATACGGATACACTCAACCCAAATATGATTCCATCATGATCCTATAAATTTGATATATTGATACCATTAGTCAATGAGAGTTGGTTTTAAAGCATATGTTTTTTAAAAAAGTATTAATTGAATGACGCCATGATTAGGGTACGGGATTTTTCTGTGTTGAAACTAGTGTTAGTTAAATTGCTCGATTTTTAAAAATGGTCATCCCATATTTTTAGACTATATATTATACAAGCCCGGCGAATTTACTCATAGATGGCAGAAAGGTGTAAATATCTATTAGCAAGAAATCTGGAGGCTTACGTAATACTATTTTGGCTAAAATCTTAATTTAAAATCTGGTAAATCGATTAAACTGTTGATTTTAAGATGGCATTCACCTATCCTTCATTGATAAAATATAATACTTATAGTTATAAAATAAACTTTGATTATATTTTATAAAGATTCAAAGACCGATTTCTTTGGAAAAAGGTAAACTATTTTGGTTATAACTAATAATATTTTGTCCACCAAATTTAAATTGATTTCTACCTTTTTATTTATCAAAGCTGTATCCAAAATATTAAAAAAAATTTAATTCGAAAACTTTCAAAACTTTAACAGAAAAGCAAGAAATAAGCCCCTTTTTTTAAATGTAAAATTTATAAACTTGGCTAAGATATTTTTTTAAAATTTTGTGAAAGTTTCAATTAATATATCCAATTAAATTTTGAAATCTTTCATAAAAATTTTAACACAGCCTTATGTAATACCTCATTTATTGGATAAATCTCTTTTTTTATTGTATATCCAGTATAATAAAAAAATATATTATCAAAGATTTCTGCTATAAGTAGGGAGGGGGGGGGGGGTGGCACAAAAAACCCAATTTATTTTTGAAAATTTGTTTAATTAGTTTGATCTATATTAGGCCAAAATTTCATGTATAATTATAATATATAAACTCATTGAGACTAATATCATAGTAATTTTAAATTATGAATCAAATAATACAGGTATATTATTAATAGTAACCTTTCCTTACTCCCTTCCTTAAAAAAATTTGTTATATAGAAATTAGTGTGATTTGGGCCGATTTTTATAAAAGATATTTTTTTGGCCAGGTCCGATTTTTAAAAATATTTATTTTTAATTTTTAATTTTTATAGATAACAATGTCAATTTAAATATTAGATTTTAAAATATACGGAACGGCCCTGTTGTTTTTAAAAAAAAATACACCTATGCACATGTACCCAGGGGCTTAGGACCGGGTCTGCAGGTCTCTTATTTAAATATTTCAAGATCTTGTTCTACGATTTCTATTTCAAGTTCTCCCCTCTTTATTTTCCATTTTCCTAAATAAAACATCTAACTTAAATTAAATATATATGTATTTATTATAATTATCAATTAATGTCGTCACGTTTTCAAAATATAATTAATGAATACAGGAAGTGAACGGATTTGAAAATTATAAATAAAATAACTAAAATTAATTATATTCATCATTTTAAAATATTAATTGGATTTTTTTTATGTACTAAATAAGTAACTTAATTTTAACTATAGAATTTTTTTTTATAAAAATGGTATCGTTACAAATCTCTACTAAAAAATGTATCGCCATACTTTTAATAGCTACTTTAACAGCTGATATATAATAATAATAAATCCGTCATGTCTAAACTTCTGTAACCCAATTTAATTTATATCTCGTATAAAATATCATTAATTAAATGTGTGTCTCATTACAAACTTTACGAATATGATCTAGCTCAAAAGAAATTAACTTTGTTTTCATGTGTTCACCCAGAGATATGGGTAAGTAGTAATAAATTAATTCATTGGAATTGTGTGGTATAGGGTCTTATGATTCTATATCATCAATTTCAATAATATCGGTAGGAATCAAAACACAAAGGCGGGATTTCATGCATTTTTTTTTTACCAGTAGTCTGTATTTACCCATGTTACAAAATGCATCTAAAAGGGAAAAGTATATGTTATAGTTTCCATTTTGTTTTACATATATTTTATTTGATAAAATGATTAATTTTCGAAAGAGCTGTTTGATCATATTCATTACGTTTAAAAAAGAAATTATAAAGATCACTTAATTTCGCGAATTTTTTTATGTTTTAATTTATTTTTGAAAGAATAAAAAAAGAAAGGAAAAAGTGTATCATTGTAAATTAACTATAAAATATCGCCATCAACGGTGATACTCCTAAATTTTAAATAAACTATCCCTCGTTTCTTTCGATTGTTTTCTTATCTTCTTTACAATTTCCAAAGTATATTTTATTATCTGATATTGATACATATATAATAAATAATTATAAAATGCTACAAATAAATTCAACAGATTAACAAATAAACTAAAGGAGATGAAAAAAATTTTAGGTATGAATGACGTTGAATGGACGGATGTTGTAAAGAGAGTATTTACGAGGTGTTCATTATCTGTTCTTGCCATTGAATTTTTCTTCTTCTAAAATTTAGAGCCCTTGAAAACTTTTTTATTGCTTTGGTTAAAATCATCCAACAATTATTTTTAAATTATTTTTGAAGGTGATATCCTGGATTGATCTAAGCCCTATGGCTGTTTGAATCAAATGATAAAAAAAAAGATGGTTGAATCAAATTAGACAATGATAAAAAAAATAATTATCAACAATGGAAGATATGCTAAGGGCTTTATAAGAATATAAATTTTATATCACCATAGTAAAATTTTTGTTAAGGGAGTGTTCTGAATCAATTTTAAATAAAGATACTCAATTCTCCTAAATAAAAAAAAATAAGGAAAATTTTAATGTGAAATAGATGCAACAATAAGTCATACCCAATGAATTTTATGAATTATAATTTTAATTTTTAATTATTAACTTCTAACTAAAAATTATATCTTGGATCGGATCGGACCTTAAAAAAATAATGCAAGGTTCTAATTTGCACTAACCTCCACCCCCCAATCCCCCTGTTAAGAATAAAGGAGGGGGAGGCACTCTTAAGTGAAAGGTGTTATCGATATCACTGAATGACATGAATTTTTTCTAAGAAAAATTAAGATTCCTGCATTTATACTGTTTAAATTTTTTAGATTAAATCTATTATAAATAATAATTTTATTTAATCTCATTTTGAATTATCGACTCGTAAAAGAATTTTTTTTAACATAAAAAAGAGGGCTGCAATTGGCTGGTCAAAAAATTTAAATATCTTGTGAGCGGTTTAAAAATATATGAACCAATGGGTGGGCGATTAGAGCCAAACCAATCAAAATAATTAATAAACATGCGAATGGTAGATTATACAAATTTTTTAGACAAATTGACGAGTGGGCATCAAGGCTAAAAACTCTATTACAGCGTTCTAATGCAAACCTTTTAATTTACACGAACTAGTTGAACGGCAAGATTTTGGATTTACCTTGATAGTTGAGTCAATTTTTTGTTTAATATTTTTCTTCCTTTATTACTTTACTCTTTATTTTTAAATCCCAATAAAAAATAATATCATAAAATAAAATAATATACAATAAAATAATATACAATAAATAAAAATCAACAATTGTCAACTGGAAAACATAACAGATCATTATGATTTTTAGATAATAAAAAATAAAATATTGAACGAAATATATATTTTTTCAAATCAAATTCAAACAAAAATTTTATTTATAAATCAATCAATAAAATCATTTTTTTTAAGAAAAAAAATAATAATAAAGGTTAAAAATTATATAATATTCTTTATCGTTTTTATCCTTCATGATTTATTTTCCCCAAAATACCTCATTGATTTATGAAAAGAGTTAGAGCCAATAATAATTCAAATTATGTTCGCGTTCGTAAAAATCTCTTTTATTTTACATCATAATTTAAATTATCCTAGCTTAAAATTATTCCTTTACCTTTACCTTAAAAAAATGAATTGAATCAATTTTTTGAAGACTCATAATCAAAATATTAATGGACACAGCGGCTCTCGATGCCGATATTCCTAAGGAAGAAAAAACGAAAGATTCTTTTGTTAAAAAAACAAATCATCGGTAAAAAAAATAAATGAATATATTTCTGGAGTTATAATGAAGATACATGATATTTTTAAATAAAAAAATTTTATTATTTAAATATTCACCTTATTCATCTTTAAATTTTATTTTTATTTACTTTTATATTTATAATTATTATATTACCCGAAACTATAAACCTTGTTAAAGTTATCGCCAAAAAAGAATAAATTGTTATTATTTTAGATAAATTGGCTTCTTTCACTACTTTGTATTATATAATCTTATTAAGATATTAGCACGATGCAGCTTGAACCGCTTCTAGTTATATTTTATATAAAAAAAATGAAATAAAAATTATTATTTAACTTAATTTCTATATTTTTGTTTTTTTTAATTAAAAGCTTTTATATTTTTTATTTAGATTATTAGATGACAAGATATTATAATAATGATGATTAATTTTATTAAATAAGTCTGAAAAAAAGAAGAATTTATATAAATTTTTTAACCGAATAGAACCGATAATAAATCGTTCAAAACCGAAATTGAAAACCGTTTTAAAATTTATTACTAAAAAACCGGAATGTAGCTGAACCGATGGAACTGAACCCTTATAATTATCGGTTCGACACTCTGATTTCTATATTTATTTACAAAATCGTATTTATCATAATTTTAATTACCTAATCGCGGGGAGCGTTGACAATTTGAAGACTTTTGAAGGTTAATAAAAAAAAATATAATATTTGATTTGATTTAAAAATTTAAGGAAAATATCATGACGCGAATCCGATTATAAAGAATTCTTTCCTTTTGTCTTTCTGCCACAGTATTTTTGTGTTAATAAAAAAAAAATTGAATTCTTTTAAAATATATAAGAAAACTTTAGTCGAACAGAATTGTCCTTAATCTCAGGGCATCTTATAAAAGTTTATCAATGAGGTTTTAAATTTAATATTCTATGCTTATTTTTATCAATGTAACCATTTTCCTTAGTTAAAGTTATCAAAATATTGTCAAAGTTTTCCCAATTTCTCATAAACTAATAGGGAGGGGAGGACCATGCAAATCGAGCCTATTCTATAAGCTTATAAAAAAAATTTTAATATTTTCTTAATAAAATAAGGATTAAGAAAAACACTAAAAATATAATACTTTTATGATCTAATAAAAATAATAGGAAATATTTTTTTTAAAAAAATTATATTTAGATAATATAAATAGTATAGGTTCTCACTCATGTGAAGAGATGATTCTAAAAAAAAATGCTTATATATTTAATCTTGTGATATAAAACTCAGATATCTGATAAAATAGATTTCAAGCTTTGATTTGATGGATTATTTATATGGGACTTAAGATAATTATTAAATATCATTCATAAAATTTCCAACATTGTTAAATATTTTAGATCAGCATAACTACAAAATTTATTCGAAATTGTAAATTTCAATTTCGCAATTATATAATTCAAAATTATATTATGGTTTCTTATTTTTATAATTAATAATTTTATATTTTTTTTTATTTAAAAAGTAACGCGCTATTTTACTCAACCAAATTATTATAAATGATAGATATATATATATACTTTATTATTAATACATGTTTTAAACGTTTCTTATAAAAGTTACTTGTAACTAATATAAAATTTATAAATTTTAATTAAAGGAATTTAAACGAAATAAAAATATTTATATCCCCCGAAAAAAATATAAAATACAATATAATATTTACACTTATCATAAAATTCTGGGCTTAGTAAATTTTTATTTGATTTTATTGATAATAACCTATTTTCAAAGTTGGTGTATAAAAGGTATGCTAGTTTTTCTCCAAATACAAGGTTCCCTAAACTAAGCAAATTTTCTACAGGAGAGATATTTTATCTAATAAACAATAAATTTTAAACTTGGGAAATCGTCTTATAAATTAACATATTTTAAAAAGCAAGTGACAATACATCCCCAAAAAAATAATCCTTTTTTTTTCAAAGTAACTACTTATAGTATTTGGCAAAAATGTAACTAATGACAACACTAAATTAATTTATATTTTTTTTTAAATAACTACTATTGATTTTCATTTCACATTGAACTTTAAACTTGCTAAAAAAACAAAATAAATATTTCGAAATTAATTTGTCTTTTAATTATAAATACATATTTTTTTTCAATGACAAACCTCATATAATTTTTATATTATTTTTTAAACCATATTGTAAATTATATTTTATAAATTGATAAAGGCATACCCCAAAACAAATTACCAATCTAATAACAAAATTTTTCCTATTCTTCGTTTTAGCGAGTCGAATAATTTCATATTGTAGGCCTTTGACTATATTACATTTTTAATAAAAATATAAAAATAGTTTTGGGTTTTCACCTTAGGCGAAGCCGGGTGGGAGGGGGGCAAGGAGAAATCTCCCTTCAGAAATTTATCACTTTTTGTGAATATCATATTAAGTTAATAAAAAATATCCCCCTTAGCCCCCCCCCCCTACTACCTGACCATCAAAAATGTATGTATATATTATCTTAAACAATAATTTGAAAGAAAGGATGTAAAAGTTGATATTTATTTAAACTAAAACTATTCATCATAATTTATACATTTTTGGAAAAAAGCATGCATTTATATATAAAAAAAGTGAACCAAAAATGTTTTTAAAGAAATGGAATACAAGCCAAAGATAAGTCTTAAGACAAAAGTGAAATTTATTATCATTATATTAATAGATCCATAAAATTACTAAGGACATCAGAAAATATCTTTTAAAGACATTATGGGATGAATAATATGAAGATTAATTTTTAATATCATTTTTTATTTTAAATAAATAGATGGCGTTAAATAATTGAATGCAAATTGTTGCTATATTTATTATCATTGATTAGTAAAATTTGTTAAAATATTACTGTAATATATTCTCTAACTGTCAAATATATTTGTAAAAGTAGAATTTTACCTAGTATTTTATAACCAATTCTATATAGGAGAGGAATATCAACTATATATCTACTTACTTTTTATAAATAAATTTCTTAAACTTGTTTGGAATAAATTATTACCATGCTTTTATATTAATGTTTATACAAGTAATTTATTATATTTTATATAAACTAATCATATTTGTTCCAGGCTTATTTTTTTTATTAAAATTAACCTCCTATCTTGTAAAAATATTTTATGACTATACATAGACTAAGGTAACCCGGCCAAAGGCCCTCCCAACATGGGGTCTGGGAACGAAGCCCTCAGAAATTTTTTAACCCCCCAGAAATTTTTAACCCCCCCCCTAGGAAAATCCTGGCTACGCCTATGGTTTTCACAAATTTTTTTTGGGGGAGAGCTATAGGGGGAAATCTTTATTAGCTTAAAATGATATTTACGAGAACAGGTTTTCGAAGGGGGAGGGGGAATTTCCCTCTTTTCTTCCATTGGTTACGAGACTGGTGCCCAATTGATGCTGAAAAATGAGCGTTTTCTACAATGTATAAAGACTTTTGGATAGGCTGCTTGTTTTAGTCGGTGATGCATTTAATATAAGAATATTATTCTTTACAAATTTTTATTAACAACTTTTAAATTCTGATGAGGCCCAACCCCAGTCGGTCTCAGGCAGACATTTTCTCGGACTTGAAACGGTTCGGACCTCGATTTCAAATTTTGTTTTCGGATCGGAAGGGACTCGGACAAAATTTCAACAAAATTTTATTTAATTTTATTTGATATAAATATCCTTTTCTTGAATAACGTAAAAATTTTCTCTATTTCAGGGGTTAGAACTTGTTCCGCTTTCATTAAAATATCGTTATCATCTATTATCGATCCTTCTTTCAATTCTCTTTCATCTTTCTTATTTGCTTGTATCTTATTTTATTCCCTCAGTTTGTTTAAATATGCGCGTTACCAATAATTAATGAAAAGGATATATCGCGGTTTTACCCATAATCAGAAATTTATTTTTATTTTTTGATTATCTCATAATCATCTATCCATTCTATAAAGGCCCTGAGTCTGACTTTATTTTTCTTAATTAGACCCGATTAGAGCAATATTTTTACCCTTTATAGTTAATTTGACATCATCTAAATTGCCTGTTATATTACAACTATTTAGAAACGTTCAATGATTTTAATTTGATAATATAATTATAAATATAAATATATAATAAATTTTCAATTGTATTTTATAATAGTTGGACTAGCACATGTTTTTTGCTTGTATTTTAACTAATTAAACAATAACATATTTTGTATATGGAAGAAATAGTTTTCCACTTTTCCTTCTTACCTTTTCTCCAATACATTCATAACTTTACCTCTCTAATACCATAATAGGATAAAATCTAGTTACACTCATTTTGTCAAATTACTACTGAGTTAAGGTTTGTTGGTATCCTTGAGAAAAAAATCCGCACAATTATATGAAGGGTGGGCTTTTCATAGAATTCACGTTCACTCACCTTGGGCAGGTTTGTGACTGCTAAATAAGATAAGATTAAAATAAGAAGAATATCTTTTAACATTTCGCCATTTTTTGAGTTCCGATTTTGGCCATATTATAACCTTTTATATCATTTGGTTTTTGTGATATGCCATCGATTACAAGTGTGTTGCAGGTAGAATCTTAACAATATTTATTATAAATGCTAACTTTTTATATCTAATATTATTTGTATTTGCCCCCTGTGATGCCAATTGGTGTCATTTGAACCAAAAATGTAGCACTTAAGGCCTATATTAATAAAAAATATATATATTAAAAAACTTAATTCGATAGAATCTCTATCGGAGCAGCAGGGCTTTACTTTCAATTAAATGCTAACATTTCAGTTTGCGTATTAAATAATTATCTAGAAATTCTATCCTTCTTTTTTTTTATTGTTTTTTAAAAACAGGCAACTGACGACAATCAATACATTTTTTTTTCTGATATAAAAATATTTTAAAACTTAAAAATCAATAAAAAACCAAAATTCAAAATCTTCTTTGTAATTTATATTACCACTGGGTTCACTAATATTTCGTATTTCGGACTTGTTGATATTTATTGTTAGAATGGAAATTGTTGGTTTGTGAAATTTATTTATATAACTATTTTAAAATTATAATTTTTGAATATAACATATTGCAATTTAGAACTTGTACTAGAAGTTTTGCTAATTGTTTAAAAAAATGGGGGGGGGGGGGGGGGGTAGATTTTAAGATGAGCAAATAGCATTCTTTTTACCCTTCATATGCCCCTATTTTCCCCTCCCCTTCCTCCATCCCTTTTTAAATTTTAAAGACAAAATATCATTTAAGTAAGGCTAAAAAATATTAGAACTTTTCTGTGCTTCTTAGCAGTTTTAGTTACACAAGTCAGTGTGAAAAGATGGTTTTCTTCGTAAATTTATATCATCATAAGGACCTCGAATAAAAATTTATTGAAATATTATTTGTAAATATTCAAATTTTTAATGACCATCTGAAACGCATCAGAGCCATGCTAAGAGTTCTGGCGGCTTAAAAAATGACAAAATAAGCAACTGGATTCGCCATTTAGAAAAATGGAACTCATGAATAATCAGTAACATACATAATCCTATAGCCTAAGAGTAATCTTGACAAATTATAACCCTAAATGTTCGAGGAATGGTAGAAGTTGTCAGGGTTTTTAAAAAAAATTATAATAATTTTTGCTTCTGTAAGCGTATAAAAATTTTTTAATTTATTATATTTTATAATTACATAGGATAACGGGTTGGGGCGAGTACATAAAAGGGATATTTACTATTTAAAATAAAATTTAGTTCAGTAAATAATTAAAAACAGTTTTAAACCTGATTATCCTTATTTGAAAATTTTGGTAAACAAATCGCATTTCATTTTAAAAAAATCTTTAAATCTAATATCACGTTCGATATAGCGTTTTTTAAACATTTATTTTTTTTTCCCCTAAAATTTTCATTTATTTTATTAAATATGAAAAATAAATTTATTACACTGAATTTTCTTAAAAAGTATACATCAATCCATTTTATCATAGCAGAATATTGTGCTCTAACCATTTTGCTCGATTATAATTATAAAAAATCATATATTTTTATACTATCAATTATTTATTTATTTTTAAATAGAAAAAATCTTCCAGCGATCATGCCGTCCCACGAAGATGTCAGTATTTGGAGTATATTGAAGCAATGCATTGGAAAAGTTATGTACCTTTATTTTTATATAACTTTTTTAGTCACGTAGCTTCCTTTTTTCAATGCTAATTAGACGGAAGGAGAGCACTGTATAACGGAAAAAAGATATCTTGCCTTCTTTAAACTATAAGGTTTAAGAACCACTAAGAAATTTAGAACTCGAGGTCTCTCATTGATTCTAAAATAAGGTCATCTCCTTGATTTTATCGAAAGTAGATATGGGGGTATAACGCTTGATGTTAACTAGGGTAAGATGAATGCATAGAATAAAGTCTCAAATGGGGAAGGGGGGCAAGATTTTTCTAGAATTTAAACTTTTACAGTTCGAGTCTAAGTTTTCTTTATCTAAGTTGACGTTCACTGTCCTCTAAATGAAAACTCAATTTAAATCATTTTAATTAAAAGAAATCAAATTTATTTAAAAAAATTTATTGACAGGATTTATCTAAAATAACTATGCCCATCGTCTTCAACGAACCACTAACATTTTTACAAAGACTTGCGGAATATATGGAATATTCGCAACTGTTGGAAAAGGCTGATGCCTCAGAAAATCCTATCGACCGAATGGAGGTTTGTATGATTATTATATGAAATGGCACTATTTATTTAAAAAATAAACAATTTTATTTGGTAATGATTTTATGGGGTGTCACGAGTATTAGGTAGGGTAAAATATTGCATTTTAGATTATAGCCATAAATATAATTATTTGCGCGTTATTTTTTTTTTAAAAAAAATCGCTAGTACGTAGCAGCCTTTGCCGTTTCTGGGTGCGCCACGAATTGGGAAAGACTCGGTAAACCTTTCAATCCTCTCCTGGGCGAAACTTATGAATTCGATATGTAAGGCTAAATGATCACTCGAATCTTTCATTTGCAATTATCTGCAAAATTATTTTCTTTTATCATTTACTATTAAAAAATTTTTTTTTTAGTTTGGACCTTATGGATTAGTTTATACGGAGGTTTATAGAACATCTTTGTTACAAAAATAATTAGTGTTGTTAAATGACTCGATATGTGCCAATTTTTAAAAACGGCCAATTCAATATTTCAGCCAGAAAATTATGCCCTAAGCCTCGAGATTTCTTTAATAGATGTTTAAACCTTTTGTGCTATATATGATAAAAATATTATTGAGAAAAATCTTAAGGCTTGCGTAATAATTTTCTGGATAAAATGTTGAGTTAGCAGAAACGTGCGGTTTAACCACACTAAAAATAATGATAAAATTGCATATTATATATCTAAACTCATTCTGAACTAAATATATATTCGCAATTTCAAATATTATAACCAACAACTATTTATTATTATTATAATCATCTTAATAAGGAATCTTTTTATATACTAATTGAAAATTTTCTTTAAAAAAAATAATTTTCTTTTAAAAAAAAACAGGCCAGAACAAGGTTATACAATGGTATGTGAACAAGTATGTCATCACCCGCCTATTAGCGCGTTCCACGCAGAGTCTAAAAAATATCTATTTCACGGTTCCATTCAACCTAAGAGCAAATTTTGGGGCAAATCTTTAGAAGTTCAACCACTAGGAGTCATCAATTTGGAATTACTAAAGTATTTTTTTCTTTTCTTTTAACCACGAAGTAAAAAATTTTATAGTAACTACTTCTATCTACTGATAAATAGCTCAATTCAAGGAATGTTTAACTAAAGGAAATTTTTTAATTGGATGAAATATATTTAAAATTAAACAAGTATCTGAAGTAAGGAATAGGATTAAAGGTAAGAGAGATATGGGTTAGCTTTAATTAGAGGTTTGAGGATATGGATCAGGGTTAAGGTAAAAAATTTTTTAATCAAAATTTAATCATTTTTATTAATAACTTGCTTGTCAAATCTGACAAGTTTATATTAGGGAAAAAAATCATTTTTCTTTCATACCATTTAAATTAAAGGTTAAATGAAGACGCGAATTATAGAGTAAATAAAAAGTAATAATTCTTTTTTTTTAAATATAATTTAGCCATCACGAGTGTTATACTTGGACTAACCCGAATTGCACTATCCACAACATAATAATGGGAAAACTCTGGATAGAACATGTGATCACATTCTTTCTTGATATTTTATACCATACTAAGCTTTAGTTTTGATAGCATAGGCATATCCAAAATTTTCGTAAAAAAATGGAAGGAGGATGAGAGATTTTGGGTGGTTTTTTTAAGAAAAAGGGGACCCCCCCCCCTTTATTAATTACATTTTTTAAGTTATTGTACAATTAATGGCATTCTTAACTCTTTTTATTCACATATATATATATATATATATTTATATTATATCTATGCGCGAATTAGTCAGGTTCTTTGGATATAACAAATCATACGAATGGTTACAAATGCAGCCTAAATTTCAGACCCAATGGGGGTAAAGAGATAAATAGAGTCGATGGATTCGTGTATGATCAGAGGTTTTATATTTTTTAATATTAAATATATTATTATTATATAATATAGATAAAAAATTGACATTTTATTTTAATAAAAACAAATGATGTCTTTTGATGTGATTTAAAAGGTAAGTAAGAAAGTTAGTCAATGGGTAACTAAGGCCAAATATTGATATTTTTTTTATTTAATGGGATGGCCTAATAAAATTATCTTACATCGATACATGTTGATTTTGTGGATAGCAATCGCTGCGTTTTACTAAAACAAATATCCAAGAATCTTTATTGATTTTACAATACATTTATTTGTAGGAATAATAAATCGAGGGCTTTATATGGTCATTGGAATTTAGCATTATACTCCACGACCCCTAAAAATTATGAAGATTCACTTAGCAAAAATGTGACAGATAAGATGCTAAGAAGGCGAAGTAGCAGTGTAAAACATAATTTTCTTTTTTTTAAATTTAAAATTTTTTTTTGTAAGGCTATGTCCAAAAATATCAAAAAAAATTTGATTCGCAAACTATAATTCTAGGAAATTTCAAATATTTAATTAATTTTTTTTTATTTAGGACATAGCCTTAGTTTTTAAGACTCCGATTCATGCAAATTTCCTTGTATCTTATATTTTTTAAAAATAATATAGTTTTGCAAGCAATGAGTGAGTTGGGCTAAGAAAATAAATTTTTTTAAAAAAATAAGTTTCATTCACTATTAGGCCACCCCAAAATAAGAGAAAGTAAGAAAAAAATGTATTTAAAAATGAACAAGGCATCCCAAAAAAAGGATAAAAATTTTATGATATAAAATATAAATTATAGAAATAAAGGAGTTAGAAGTATTTATGGCAATTGGAATGAGTATCTTAAATCGTCGGAGGCCACATTACTTAAGGATTATTTAACTGAAGATTCTAAAAATATATCGAATTTTATTGCTAAAACTAAATCAGTAAGTTACTTTGTTTTCGTTATTTTTAACATTGTTTTTTTTGCATTTTAAGAAATGAATATTTCGTAAACCTAAGTGTTAGATGTACAGTTTGCATGAAATTGGGGTCAAATTTACTTGAACATGTATTAAATGTTACAATTACTCGTGGGCCTTATTTATAGTATACGCGATTATAGTTATGATTGCCACGTTGTATTATTTATTATTCTCTATTTTGTAGCATAAACATCGTATTGCTAATTCGCAATCAGTGACATATAAATTCTCACATAGACCTACAATTTATTCATTAAAATTTTGAAGCACCGTGTTGAATACAAATCAGCTGGACGCCATTTTATTTTCCCATATAAGGATTTTTATTTATACATAAATGAAACTTATGAATGCGGAACATCTAAATGGCGTGCCCCCCCCTCCGATTTTAACTAATATATATTTAAATGAATTAGTCTACAGGGCTAGATAGAATTATATGTCATCTTGCTATTTATTGTGCTTACTATAAATGACGCCTTAACTTGTTTGATATAACTTGCTTTTTTTATATTTATTAAGCTATCCAAGAAGGCATTCCAATTTCAGGTACAACCAAAATTATTATTTATTCATATTACTGTTAAATATTTTAAAAAAACACATAATTAAGACATTGTTAGCTGAAAATCCCGGGTTGGTTACAACCGAAGATCAGGAGAGTCAAGAGATATCAGCAGATTATTCTAAATTTGCAAAATACGTGCTGCAATTACCTCATTCAAAACTCTTGTGGAGTTATACTCCCAAGCCTATCAATGCGAAACAGGTCAGTTAATATTAAATGGTTTATCATTTTAATCAGTGTTGTGAACGCGAATGTTAATTTAAACTCTATCAAGCGGATTTTGACAATAGGAACTAATCAAAACCGATTTTTTGAAAGAGGTTTGGACCCGCTCATGGTTTGATGGGTATCGGTTTCTGTTTATTCTGGGGTCTCAAAATGTCCAACCAAACAATTTTAAATTTGTGAACCCTAATTTGGGTTCGATACCTTGATTTTATCAGACTTATACGAGGTTATAATATGACTAAAATAAACTATGAAATATTTGGGGTTATCTCTAAACTATTGAATATATAATCGGTTACTCGTTCATTCCTCTATATTTGTTTTTAATATTTAGATGTTTAACTTCTCCTACTTCAGCCTCATGTTGAACGAACCTCCCTCAAACCCCGAAGAATTACCTGCTACCGACTCACGGTTCCGTCCAGACTTAAGACAATACGAGAACGGAAAAATCGACGCTGCATCTAGCTTAAAGACCGCGCTCGAAGAGAAACAAAGGGCCGCCGCCAAAGCTTTAAAGGCAATGGGAGCGGCTGAAATCGCCGCTATTAAAATAGGTTAGTTCCATCAAATTACTTTAAATTTCCTTTTAATTGAACACAATTATAGTTGTTTTTTAGTTACTCTAAATTTTACTAAACACGAAACCATACATTGAAAATGTTATATTTTTGTTTAAAAAAAATTATTTTAAATAGACCCATCCAAAATTTCTAAACTAATTGATTTAAATCAGTTACGCAACTGCGATTTAGTTAAAGGTCCCTTATGGTTTAGCCCTACAAAAAATCCGTACTTCAAAAGCAATTCCGATAATGTTGATTGGAAGTTTGATGAAAACTATTGGAATAGGAAATACTCGCAATGCCCTAAAATATTCGATTTACCTACTAATTAAGGCATTTCTATTTCAACATTCGTCGTTTATTAAATGCGTCATGTTATAAAAGGGCATAATTTATTTTTTAATGATTTTTGTATCATATATATTTATTATATAAGCTATATCAATCAGTCGAATGATTTTATTGATTAAATTTAAAGCGATATGAAGATTACGAATGTATTTTTTTTCTTTTAAAATGAATATTATTGATAAATCCATTATTCATGACATTTGTACATAGTATAAATTATAATTCCAGGTAAAATAAATTTGGAGTTTTTTCTCTTATTGCACGTATTCTACGATACAGTTAAGAGCTACACTAAAGAGTAAGAAACATGGATCCCAAACTGTAACGAATACCAGTTCGGTTCAGATAAAAAATTATAATATCCTTTCGGTTTGAACTTTAAAAAGTCGGCTCAAGCCATTTCGCTTAAAAACATATTAGAATTATGCAAAATTGAAGCAGATATCCTCATTGAGATATGAGGCAACTAAGATAGTTTCCTCGAAGGCGAATTGAGTTTTGTAACATTAAAAGAGGATCCATGTCCCCATTAATTTGAGAATTTTCTTTACCTATCTTAAAAAAAATGATAGCATAGGGGGCCGGTCAAGGAAGTATAAATAATATAGATAAAGTGAAAATTTGATAAGTCGTAGTACTTTTTGATCTTTTGGCTGTAATGATTGGATCAATGATTGAGTTAGAGGAAAACTAGGAGACAGAAGTGAAATGTTTTCCTCTAAACCAAGGAATATTTATGAGCCCTTCTGGCCTTTTCCTATCAGATAGGGATAAGATAACGGGTTTCAGGAGATTTGGGCAATTGCCAGTCCTGATTTGTTGAGATAATAAAGTAGCTCGAACCCATTTTTAGAATTTAAACAGGTTAAGTCATGTCCTCTTTTGTGATCGGAATTTTTCCCCCACCCTTTACATTTATGGGGTAGTCATAGGTCACATCCTAGTCAATTCTGGTCTACTCAGCTTCCCCTTGGATAGCAAAAGTTTAAAATTGATACTATGGACAGCTTCAAGCCATATATGACTAGTTTTGTCTCAAGTATTTGAGGATTGGAGATTATATCTATTATAAGGAGAAAGAAAAAATTATAGGGTTGAGAAAAATCTATATACGCTAACTTGAAGCTGGTAGCGTCAAATATAGAAAAATTGAAAGTTCTTTCAATGCTATAAAATTCATCAAAGAAAGTTTCATTTGAGATTCTGCTTTGTAACTTATTCAAATTTTTTGGCTTGAAATATTTGGAGATAAAATTTGTAATAAAATTGAAAAAAGATGGGAAATACTATAAAAAAGGTGTAAGGAAACTGTGTAGATAAACAAATATCTATTTAATATAAATTTGAAGATATTATGATAAAATTTTCAATCAATTTCATATAATAATTAACAAAATATCGAATATTAACGTATTCGTTAATTGTAACTATTCTATTCGAAGCATAGGCTTAGCATTACTAAACATTTTTATTTAAGAATATGGAACCAAACATATAATTAATGGCGCTGGATTATATTTTTTCATTATGAATGAATAATTTTATATAAAAATATAAAGTAAATTATTTTTTTTTATGCCTATAAATTTATAGATAAATTTAGAATATAATTACTAATCAAGAATCCAAGAGCCGCTTTTTATGGTCCTCTCTCTCTCCAATTGACTAGTTCCGCAATAGGCAGGGAAACATTAAAACTCATTCTTGGCAAGAAAAGAACTTGACACTGGCAAAAAAGAAAAATATGTTAAGCTGCAAGTCTTTAAGCATACAATCCTCCCGAGTGAATATGGTTTTTATCCTTCTTTTAGACTCTATTTTATCGTTCCTTTAAAAAAATTTGATTCATACTTATGTTACTTATTGTTCAAATTAATTTTAAATAAAGATACCAAATTATAGGTGTGATAAAAAAATTAATGTTATACGAAGTAAGAATATAATTTTAATAATGAAATGGTTTATCTTTATTGTTCTCAATATTAAATTAACAAAAACGAATAAATAATGAATACGAGATTAAGTTATCTCTGAAATTAATGATTGATTTTTAACTCCCATTTCTAAAATATTTGGTCAATTACATTTATTTTAAATTATTAGACTACAATAAATATTTTTTTTTTAAATATATATAATTTGTTTCCATGTGGAATAAGAATGTATCACATCGTCGCATGAGAATTAGATTATTCTATATCCATATTTTCAAGATGACTTTTTTTTTACAAAAATCAATTTTTTATAATTATACCTTTCTGTTTACAAAAAAATCTGAAATATTTATAAAATAATTCAAATTAAATCCGACACTAGAAGAGTAAGCATCCTATTGCAGATAATAAAAATTTAATTTTTAAAATTGCCCTCCTGTAAAACTATAAAAAGTGGAGATAGAATATTCTAATTTTCAGGCGATATATACAACTTTTAATTTCCTGTAAAAATACCTCATCGTACTCTGGAACGAATCATGCCTGGCTTTTGTTTCTTAGGTAGTTAGATTTTTTATTACGGTCCATTCATTCTATAAAACATTTCAAAAAATTTGAAAAGAATGAAGAAGAAAAATTTTAATGTATTTTTACGTCGAGTAGAAGAAAATTCTTTTTAAAAAAGTAATTCACGAAGGAAAAGAGATTGATCGAATCGAGTGGCTTCATTGATAATATTGGAAAGTTTTTTTTAAAAAAAAGTTTTCAATCTATTGACTTATAAGAAAAGTGTAAAGATCACTAGATTGATATAGGCTTCAAACATAACATGATCGTAGTTCCAGTGACCGACCACGGGTATTTATTTTTAAAGTTTTTGTAAGAGATCTAAACAAGAAGTTTATTTAAAACCCTAATAAATTTTAAATTGGTAACTAGAAAGGAACCTCTAGGCTTAACACCATGGATAGGGAATAACTAATGATGACACGGGTTCTCCTGGCCTCGATCCTAAATTCAAAATTGGGTTTAGACTACCCAAGTCATTAGACTTAACAGGTTTAAAACCTCAGGGCACCATTATAATTTTAAATAATAAATATTCCATGCATTAGAAGTATAGTTGGACATTTTGCTCTATTTTTTTAGCCGACTTAAAAAATATTTCTTTTTTTTTAAAAATGATATTTTTATTTTGTATAATCTCTCCAATTCTACTATTTTATAAAAACAAATATATATTATATAACTTTGATAATATAAAAATGAGATAACTATAATAATAATATAAATAAATATTTAAATATCTTCCTTCTTTGGACACAGATAAATGATAAAATGTTTATATTTTTGGAACTTTTTTCATAAAAAGTAATATACGAATATAAAAATAAACTAACCTCAAAAAAAATTATTAAATTATATATATTTTTTTAGTATAAATTTTAATTTTTACAGATATTTCAGGTACAACCTTTACAACATTTGCACCTGTTTAACAAATTATAATTTTTTGGGATTTTTTTTATAGAAAAATAAATAAATTATATATTATATAATTAAAAATAAAGAATAAAAATATAATACATTTTATGTCACCAACTATTAGACAAATAATCATTTTTTTCTTTCTTCTTGGTTTTGAAAATAGATGAATTTATAAATTTTATGAAAAAAAGACCCATCTCCACTGTTCTCATTACTTATTATTATTTAATAAAAAAAAAGATAATCTTTGGAAGAATATTTTGATTATTTTGAAAATATATAATATTGTTATTAAATTAATTAATTGCATAGGGCCATAGTTTTATTAATAAAAATATTAAAAATAAATTTCACCAAGTTAAATGCACAAAATATTTATTTTATTTTTGGGAAAGGGGGAGGAGAATGTTATATTATAATCCGTTTTTTTTATTCATTAAAAATAAGATAAAAAAATCGGTATATATTCTCGTTTATGGAGAAGGAAAAAATAAATAGCTAAATTTAGATAATAACAATTAGATATATTTGTTATGAGTACTATATAATATCAATGAGGATATATGATTCTTATACTGAGATCCACGATTATATAAATGCTTTTAAAAATATAAATAACAAGATTAATATTTTTAAATCTATATATTTTTTTTTAAATAAAGATATTCGAGGTGTGATTTCAACTATTCTATTCATAGAAGTCGTTTAAGGTTTTTAACGCTAGTTTTGCTCCCAATTTTTGAGCGGCTAGTAAAGGATTCCCTGCTTTTAGCTGAATGTTTGCTTGTTGTTCCATTGGGTTTTGTCGATTTTGATGCTAAATTATTACTACTACTATTAATACTATTATTATAATCATCCAAAATGGACATCTCTTCTTCCTTATAGGCAAGATTGGACATCGATAAACACGGGATAGATTTATGGAATTCTAATTTGCATTTGGAACAAAATTGAAAGCCACAATGAGTAGATGTGCATACGCCCTTTTCCATGATCGGTTTGAATAAGGCTGGATAATGGCATTTGGGACAAGGAACAAAATTTTCGCAGTTTTTGAGGGTTTTGGCCTTCTAAAATTTTATTTGTAATTTATAAAATATAAAGATTTAATATGTTATCCTTAATTGATTTTAAAATATTAGACGAAAATGGATTTGAAACACTGATAATAGAAAGAAATAGATAGCCTTAGAGAGATAGGTATAAAAGCCTTAATTGACATTAAGAAAAAAAAGATCAAAATATTAAAAATGATCAGATGGCCAGAAAATTCATATAAAAAATTTTAACGGGCCTGGGCTTTTCATAAAACTTTAACGGGCCAGACTTGACTTTTCGCAAAATTTTATCCGGCTCAGCCAGGCAATTATGCAAAAGTTCTTAATAGGTCATAGCGGACCTAGGCTTTGAGGACTTCTAATACCATAGAATAAGAACAATTCTATTTTGTGTGAATATTAATTAGTAAATTATTCAATTTGTTTAAAAAAATCAAATATAAAAATAATTCAGTATTCAATTTTGAATAGGGCGTACTACAAAATCGATCCAATATTTAATTGATTTTACATATGTAAGCGTCAATGTGTTATTTTTTTTTAACTTTAAATTATTTTTTGAGCGTTTTTTTTAAACATAAAAATTTGATTTTACCGGAAATATAATCCAGCATGTTTAGAATACCTATCTTATGAATTGTAGATAATTTTATAGATAACCTTTGAGTCATTTACAATTTATATGAATAATCAATGTAAAAACTAATATAAATTATTTTAAGTTCAAAAGTTCATGATAAAATTATCTGAAATTTATAGGATAGGTATTCCAAACTTGATGGGATGGAATATATTTCCGATATAATCAGATTTTTAAATTCAAAAAAATGCGCTCAAAAAATGATTTAAAGTTGAGAAAGGAGCATATTGCCGGAAAAAACACATTGACGCTAACAGATATACTTATATACCATCTTTGACCCAATGTAATTTTTTTTTTAAAATAGTAAACTGTAAACTATAGGCTAAACAACGTAAAAATTTTTAGTTTCCCATGGCAAAGGTGCTATTTGATGCATTATTTATCATGAATAATTAAGTTTTTTTTTATTTTCCAAAAAGTAATCATCTCATTTAAAGTATGGTAAATGCTTATGGCAGAACATGACTCATCAAGTATTTTTAAACCCTTTTATCGCTTCAAATATATTACAATTTTATTTGCTTACTCTTTTAAATAAATCCATTTTTTTTTTCAAAAAAATATTAAATAAATATGCAAGATTAACTTTTATGTAAACTAGAAAATGTGATGCGATTTGCAAATGACATTAATTATTTAATTATACATGTTTAGATACCTTCAAAATGACAAGATTTTCAATTTATTCATATTACTAATATAAACACCGACAGAAATTACCTAAACATTTATGGCTAGTTCACAAACATGTAAAGAAATCCTCATAAATATTTCACCAAATTTTTTTAATATAAGTTTGATGGAAATAAGAAATACGTGGCATAGCTTTGCTTATCCACAAATAGAGGGTGATATGTTTTTATTTTACCATGTATCCAAGGGTTCGAACCGCACCTGGATAAGAAAACCCGGGTTTTTGGGAAAAAAATTGGAACCCGAACCGAACCTGAACTCCGTTTATAAAATTTTCAAAACCACGAACCGAACCCGGGAATTTTATTTGAACTCGGATTCAACCGGGTTCAGTGTATTGTTTAAATTAATATAAGATATTTGTATAATTGTAAATACAAATATTAATAATTTACTTGACATTTTATAATATTTTCAAATTTCCAATTAAGTGAAGTTTTAATAAATTTTAAACAACTTAATTCATTTACTCCATTTTTAAATTTTTTAAATTTATTCTCAAAGATTCCTATTGGATTGTTAATAAATTTTAAACAATTGAATTCATTCGCCATTTATTTTTAATTTTTAACTTATTCTCAAAGATTATTAATTAGAGGAAAATGAAAGTGAACAAGTCAAAGTAAAAATTATTATATTGGATATTGTTAATTTAAAGAAATATGTCTAAATAAAAATTTTTAAATCTATACATGACTATGCTTTGTATATTTAACTATATTTTGCTTATAAATAAAATAAAAAATTAATTTTTTTTACCAAATTTATGTATAGTTTTTTAATTATGATATAAATATAGAATATTTGTTTTATCAATTCAAAAATTCTTAAACCCAGGCTGAACTTGGAACCAAACCAGGGTTCAAAAAATATTTCCTTGAACCGAACCCAAACTGAACTCACCTATTTTTTTAATCTTAAACCAAACCCGGGCAAAAATTTTGCGGAGTTCCATCCCTGCATGTATCACATAATTATGATTCCCTTTATTTAGTGCTGTAAACGTTACTTTAAAAAAGAAGCTCGTTATTTGTTACTAGTTACGTCAAAAAAAGAAACGCTTTACCATTAATTGTTACCATATGAAAAAAGGAAAGAGCGCTATTCAGAAAGGAACGCTTACTCATTACTTTAAAAATTTAATATTTTTACAAAAATTTCCTATATATAATATAAATAAATTATATAAAAATAATATACTATAAGATGAGATCTCTTTATAATAATTTTTTTTTCCTACATATAATATAAATAAAATTATACAAAAATAATATATATGATAAGATATATTTATAAATATTTTAATAACCATTGATTTTCAAAATTTTGATCAGATAAACATGAGCTCAACACATCTTTCGCCATGCTAAATACATGTTCAACTAGCGCAGAGGGTGAGAGGGTTATATCATATTAAAAATTTTAATTAGGGGAATTTAATAATTAAAGATTAATCCTTATAAAAAGCTTATTATATCATCTTCAAAAAAATCTACATTCAGATCCTCATCAAATTTTTTTTTATCTTTATCAGAAAATAATCTGGTATGTGTGTTATTTTTAAAGGAATAAAAGTTTGCTTTTTGTCAAAATCTTTTCTCAAACTGAAGTTTTCTACCTTTATTGAAGTAAATTTTATCCAGGGCTAATGTAATAACAGATGAATTATTGCTGATAGTATATATTTTTCTTTATATATGTGTTCTAATCTATTGAAGATAAAGATTATCAAAATATAAATTGTAAACAATATTTCAACTATATACCTTTATCTATGTCTTGCAGGATTGCATTAATAAATTGCTTACAACTTAAAATTATTCAAAGCAATTTTTATAGGTTTTAATATTATAATAGTTTATGAGTGAGATATCCCAAAAGTTTTGAAATCGAAAGAGCCGTAGCAACAGTTTCCATAACATATAAAATCATATATTTACATATCATATTTTTTAATTAACATTAAACATACAATATATTTATCAGAGACCAGCAGAGGTACTATTTGCACAGTCCAGCCCAGATTTTTATTTTTAATTTTTTTTGGCCCAGCCTATTTTTTTATCTTGGCCCAGATTTTTAAAAAAAATGCAGGTCTCTGATATCTCTGATATATATGAATGACTTGTCATTATCTAAAAAACTCTGCAATTCTAATTTATCATAAGATTCGTTAAATTGGTTCTCCTTATTATTGATTTCATGGAGGTATAAAAAAGAGTTCCATATTGTTATAACCAAATATTTTCCCATTTTTTCCTTAAAAATGGCTTCATAGTTTCAAGACTGTTCATGTTTATTCCTCAATTGAGGAAATATTTGAGTTGGTACATAATTTTACAAAGTGTAAATTTTTAATACCCTTAATTTTTATAGGTAAATGATTCATATTGGGGCCAGAGCAAATTGAATCATCTTCATTTGAAGAAGTACAATTGTCATAATATTCTTTATAATTAATTATAATATTAGAAAATAAGAATATAAATTAACATATCTTGATTAATTCAATATTAATTAGAAAAATAATCTTGACTGAAAATTAACAACAAAATTTTATAATAAAAATGAAGGAATTTGGTGGTTGATCTGACTTAAAACCTTGGAATAAATTTTTTATAAAAAAATAGAAATAACTTATAATATAATAAAATGTTTTTCTCATATTTTTTGAGAAAAAATTTAAAGTAACAAATAACGTTTTGCATTACCATTATTAAAAAAAAGAAACACATTAAGGTTACTATTAACCTTTAGAAGAAGGTAACGAAAGCAATTCCTACTCTTCAAAAAAGGTAACGATGTTACTTTACAGCACTACTTTTACTCACTTATTATTATTAGGAAAATATTTTTAAAATAAAAAAATCATGTAATCATATATACAATCATAGAATAACTAATAACAAAGTTATATCAGATCAGATGACTTTTATTTGAAAATATCAGATGATATTTAATGTAGTGACAGACCTAATAATTATATATACAATCATATATTGGATTAATATGGTTTTTCTTAAAATATTGTTCTAATTTTTCAAAAAATTGTAAATATCAATGTGATCCAATAATATTGTCATGGCCCAATTTTTTTTTAAACTTCATCATATCATATCAGTAAATATTCAAATAAAGTATCCCATGACCAAAAAAAAAAAAAAATTAGTAAAATCATTCTTTTTTTTATATATTAGCTATTGGCTGATTTTTAAATTTTTTGAAATATAGTTTATCTAAAATGTTTACAATCATCCTTACTTCACAAAATCATCCAAAATATTTTTTATAACACATTTATAAACATATGTAACACATATTTACTTTGATATAAATGTCCAATTTTGAGGGTTGATAATTTTTATTGACTTCTGCAAAGGGAATTTTTGGCAAAATATTTAATTGTTTTTCTAGGTTTTTTAAAGGTTTTCTTTGCTCCATATATTTGTGCTTAATATTATTGATATTTTCCTATAAATATATTATATTAATTTTTTAATAGTAAATTTAGGACATGTTTATAATTTAAAAGTTATAAAATTTTGAAGATTTTTCAACATATTTAGGTCATAGTAGCCTAAAAAAAGAAATTATGTGTACTTTCTGTTCCTGATTTTTATGAAAATTGTTATATTTCTGTAGCCCTTTCTTATATTTGTTTGAATTCTGGACTAAATGACACCACAGTTTACTAACTAAGCATATTCTAATTAAAAACATTCAAATATATATACATTAAATAGTATTTTAAACTTGCAAAATGAAGGATACTGGATAGTAGCTAAAGTTTGATCAATCAACATGTAGCAATTGATTGCATAAAATTCTTTAAAATAATCTATTTTTTCTCTTCCCATCTTTTTCCCAATTATCAATTCAATTGGAAATTTGTGAATTTCATTTAGCTGTTGATGCATCCATGATTCAATAGTTTTGTCAGATTGAAGGATCATGGATGATGGTGAAAATACTAGATATTAAGCATATATATAATAAAAATGTATTTAAATTAACTTATATCTGAGCTAGGTGTTCCTGGATGATTTTCATTGTCAGGTGAAGGTTTTGTGCATTCAATAAATGAGGAAGAATAGCCACTTTCATTGGGATATTCATGATTATGAGGTGTGCTATTATATAGAGGTTTCGAAATAATTAAATTTAGTGTATTATTATATTTGCTATTTGAATGGGAATTCATGTCTATCTATTTCATAATCTACAAAAAATAATTCTAAAATAAATTTAAATTTGGCGCTTCATATAACTCCTTGAAAAACAAATCTATTTGAACAAAAATAATAGTTAACAAAAAATATATAAAATCATAACATGTTGTTGTTATATAAAAAAATCAGGAATATATTGCGAAAGGGTCTCAAGAGGTCTAGTCTCTGGAGGGCTAAGCTGTCCTCGCCTCTTTATTGATTTTTTAGCCCTTTCTAAACTTTATGGATAGGTTGAACCTTTTCCCCTATTGTATTTAAATCCCTGATCACTTTAACATTATTATAAAAATTTAAATTTCTAATAAAAAGCTCAATTTTAACTGTGAGCCAACTATAAAAGTTTAATCCGATAAATAAATATACTATCGTCTCAAGACTTAGAGAATTTTTTTCGACTGTGTGTATTTTGCCGAGCTAATATCACTAAATCAATCTCTTAAATGTTATATAAGAATTTTAAATTTTTAAATAGGTAGTGTTTGGATAAATTTTTTATGAAAAAAATAATAAATTGAGATATTTTTCATCAGCTTCTATAAATAAATACATCATTAGTGATATTTTAACAATTAAAATATTTTCTAGGCCTAGTCTAGGAGAGGAAATATATTGAAAGCAAACCCCCTTCAAAATCTAACCTACCCGGTGGAAGAGGGGGAAGTGGGGAAGGGGGAAGGGGGTAGAACAATTTGCCAAATATTTCTTGAGAGGGATAAGTGTCGCCTTTAAGGTGTGGAGTAGGATAAATTTATGAAATAAATAAATATACTATCATCTTAAGACTTAGATAATTTTTTTCTAACTGTGTGTATTTTGCCGAGCTAATATCACTAAATCAATCTCTTAAATGTTTATATAAGAATTTAAAATTTTTAAATAGGTAGTGTTAGGACAAATTTATTATGAAAAAATAATAAATTGAGATATTTTTCATCAGCTTCTATAATTAAATACATCATTAGTGATATGCTAACAATTAAAATATTTTCTAGGCAGAGTCTACAGGAAAGGAAATATATTGGAAGCAAACCCCCTTTAAAATCTAACCTACTCGGGGTCTAGATTACCCGTGGGAGGAGGGGGGGGGGGGGTAGAACAATTTGCATCAAATTTCTCTTGAAAGGGATAAGTGTCGCCTTTAAGGTGTGGAGTAGGATAAGTTATCTAATAAATTTTTATATGAAATTGGACAAAATATATTGCTATATTAATACTTTTATAATTGACCTATCATTATACAATGATATCGCTGATCATTGACGTTATTTTCGAAATAAGACTTTCTACTATCTCTATAAATGTAATCTAAAAGGGTTAGACATTCTCAGCAAATTCATAATAGTGGTAAACAATATGTTATAAAAATGCATAGATTGTAAATGATGGGGTTTTAAATTAAATTCATGATCTAAAATTTAACTCTTATCGGGGTTAAGACCACGGGCACGAACAATGAGGGGGGGGTGTATTATGGCCAATGGTAAGGGGGTGGGCTGTTGTACCCGGTTTCACAGGATGTCTCGTTATTGTTAGGGATACTAAAATGTAACAAATTAATTTTAATTAATGGAAAATTCCCTTTTTATGCAATTATATCCTATATTTTAAAACCGAGATGCATGACGCCGTAACATACAACTGTGTGAATGCGGCTTTTCATTTCTAATATGAAATATGAAACGGATTTCTTCGCACTGCTAAGTATGGTTTTCTTCTAATTTATTCTACCGGACGGTTCGAGACCGAACTAGAGTAATAATGTGGATTAGCTTTTTTAATTAGCATAAAAATATAATCCAAAACTAATTAATACAATTTGGCTATTAATTAAATTATAATAAAAAGAAGAAGAAAATAATTTCTACAAAAATTAAATAATTAAATTTTGCGATTTCGCTTGCTTTTTATGATTTATTTATTTTTGCCTTTATTTTAGTTGTTTATAGGATTTTTTTAAATTTTAGCGTAGGGCTGTAGCCTCGGGGGAAAATCCTAAGGGACCAGACCTCCCCCCCCCCAAAAAAAAAATTGTCCACAAAATGGCCCCCATAATTTTTTCCGCCCCCCCCCCCCCCAATTTAAAAAAAATTTTGTAATTGATTATTTTTATATTTTGAAAATAAATTTTAAATATTTATTCAATAAACATGTCTTGTTTGTAAATTTCTTTCTATCCTGTTTTATTTTTAATAAATCATCATTCATTTATATTTTATCATTTTCATGTGTGTTTGTATATAACATAATATAGGAGCTTAATTATAAGGTTTAAATTGTACTTATTTCAATAATAATTATTTTATTTATTATGGTTCAATCACAATATTATTATCTTTTGAAAGTCTCTGATATAGATCTGGGTGAAAATCATAAAAAACTGGAATTTTCTGAAGCTAATCAAGTGGTTACTCAAGGCTTGATATATATAATATCAAATCTAAGGAAACAGAATATACCGATCCGTAAATATTTCTTAAAATAGAAAAGGTTCTTATTAAATTTTAATAAAATTTGGTAATTATTATGCAGTGTAGCTAAATAGCTTGATTTGGGTCGATTTTTAAAAATTGTCCGATTAAGATCTTAGACAAAATAATATTATTTAAGCCCGATATAACCAGTTATTTAAAACAGCGGCGAATATTCTAGCATTATAAAGAAAATAGTGAGATGCCAACAATTTTGGTAAGCCAACAAATTAACCATAATCTTTATGATCTTAAATCAAGATTTCATGATATTTCTTAACATACAGGAGCTACCTTTCCGTGGGACTGGTTCAACAAAAATTACGGATGCTGCAAATGTGTAAAACATAATTTATTCTTTCTGGACTATTTATAGCAATGTTTTCATACACCACCCAAAAAGATCCTGTATTAAATAAAATTACGAAATTTATTTACAAAAATATGCGATATCACCCAGATTCAAAACGATATAATATCTATTATGGTAGATTTAATGCTTGATTATATTTCAGATAAATATAGTAAAAGTGAGATGCCTTTTTTTTGTCTTAAGGCTGATGTGACAAAAGATTCATCAGGTTGTGAAAACCTGAGCAATTATTTATATTTTTTTAGGAGAAGTCCAAGAAAATTTAATAGGACTTTTAATTTACAGTGTCTTTCTGCTGAAAGCATTACAAATTGCATTTTAAAGCAACTTAATGAGTTAAATATTAATTCAACGATTATGATAAACCAGGCATAAGGTGGTGCCAACGTTATGTTTGGCCGAAATGGAGGAGTGCAAACCCTACTTCAAAAAATAATTAATAAAAAAGTTCCTTTTATACATCGCTATAACCACATGTTGCATCTTGTGGTTCCAAATTGGTATAATAAATTGTTTTCATTTCTAATTTTTTTTAATTTATTCAATGCATTGCATAATTTTTTTAGGCGGTTTAACGTATCCTGTATATATGCACATACACTTAAGAGACTTTTACACCAGAGGTAAACTGGTCATTTAGAAACATATCTCATCATTTATGTTAATTTCGAGGCTATTTATGAAGTATTAGTTTTCTTTTCTTATGGAACTCTTAATTCAGAGGTTTCCACTCATGATTCTATCGAAGCTTCTGGTTTTTTATCAATAAGTTAATATAAATTACGTTATATTAGCCATTATAATTAATGAGATATTAATAACAATAGATCCACTATATAAGTATATACAGTCTGAAGGTACTTATAAAGTGGATGCTAAAAATTGTTTTGATTCCACGATAAATATATTTAAAAAATATAAGCAATAATTTCATTGATATGATTAGAATAATGGCTGAAAAACCTTTAGCAAAATGTAATCTCACTCCCCACAAATCATCAAGCGTATGTAAAACGCCTATAAATTTCCAAGATTTTTTAGTCGAAACCAAATTAAAATTTGATTTACGAAAAAGACTCCAATTGGAGTTCTTTAAAATGGAATTATTATAAAATTATTGATTACTTTGTTGATAATTTTTTAGATAGATTTACACAAGATGTTTATAATTTTATATCAAGTTTTAATACATTGTCCCATTTTGATAGTGATTATTTTATATCGGAAAAAATGGCCCGATTAGAATAATTATTAAACTTAAATATGAAAACTTTACATAGCTAAAGGATTATTATAACTGCAGAAGTTAATGAAACACAAAATTTTGAAAATATCATAAATATTACATATAAAAAAAATATCTTCAGTCATTTAAAGAATTGTAAAAATGCTACTCAGCAGCCATCATCATTGGGGTACCAACAACCTCTTGGGTGGCTTCTTTCTCTATAATAAAGAGAGTTCTATCGTGCACTAGAGGATCGATTAAAGATCAAAATAAGCAAAATTTAGTATTGATGGCTTATGAATTAATACAAAATTTATCCTTTAATTCATTTATGTTAAAATTTAAAAATAAAAACCGTCGTATTCAGTGCGTATCCAGGATTTTCTTATGGGGGGGGGGGGGAGGGTTGGAAGCTTAGCCCCCAAACTTTCTTAGCTGGCCTTCGACCGGGTTTTATGTTTTAGCTTTTCTATTAAATTATTTATAATTTAATAATAATTATATATCTATTTTTAACTTTTATTTACTAATTTGTGCATATCGATATTACAAGCCTATTTTTTATTATTTTAAGTTAAGTATGTTATATATAATAAAGTTTATTTAAATGTAAAGTTGAAATAAAGTTTAATGTCATTTTATTTTAAAATTTGCTTTAAAAAATAGCCTCGGCTTAAATTTTCTACAATATAAGTGTTGTAGCTGTTGAAAAAATGAAGAAATAAATTTAATATAATACATCAAATGTCAGTTATTTTCTGACAGGGGAATTAAGTTTTCCTTGGTGGGAAGGGAAAAACATGATCATCACGTGTGTTGGTGAAGAACAATGGAGCTTTCTTTAGGTGTCTTTTGGGGTGAAGAATATATGGAAGCTGGATAGTTTATGATAATTATTATTAT